AATCCATACAGACCTAAATCAGTGGAAAGATACGCTGCATTCCTGGATTGGAAGACACATATAGTAAGGGTGCCAGTTCTCTCCAGATTGTTCTATAGGTTTAATGCAATTTCTATCTCAACACAGTTTTTTATTTTCGTTTTTTGCAGGCATAGACAAGTTTATTCTAAAATTTATATGGAAAGATAACTAAAACAATTATGAAAAAGAAGACTGAAGGAGTGTAATCACTCTACCCTATATAAGGCTTACTCTATAGCTACAGTAATCAAGCCAGTATGGCACTGGCAGAGTGATAAACATATAGACCAATGTAACAGAGAACCAAAAAATAGACCCAATTACTGTATGACCCAGTAATTCCACTCTTGGATATTTATCCTGGATAAATGAAAACTTACCTTTACACAAAAATCTGTACATGAATGTTCATAATGGCTTTATTTGTAATAGCAGGAAACAATCCAGATATCCTTCAACAGGTGAATGGGTAAACAAACTGTGGTACAACCATACCATGGACTACTACTCAGCAATAAAAATAAACTATTTATACAGGCAACAACTTAGATGAATCTCCAGGGAATTATGCTGAGTGAGAAGAGCATAATTATTATCCCTATTATATGCTGTATGCTTCTATTTATATGATAATCATCAAATGACAGAATTTTAGAAATGGAAACAGACTGGTGGTTGCCAGAATTTTGCTATAGATGGAGGAAATGGGAAAGCAGGGTAGATATTGTTACAAAATAACAGCATGGGGGATACTTATGGTGTTGAAACTGTTCAGTATCATGAATGTGGTGGTGGATACATAAAACTGTAAGTGTGATAAAATTGTCTTACAGGCATACACACACAAATTAGTACAAGTAATGCTAGAGATATCTGAGTGAAATCAGTGGTTTGTATCAATGCCCATATCCTAGTTGTGTTATTGTACTGTAGTTTTACAGAATGTTACCATTAGAGGAAATGAAATCTGTGAAATTATTTACTACAGCTGCATGTGAATCTACAACTATCTCAATAAAAATTTCAATTTACAAAAAGCTATTTTAGATACCAAAAAAGATAATATTGAACCTCAATATTAGGATAATTGCAAAGCTTGTTGTATTGTTTGTTGTGGGAAATGTAATTAACTCAGAGAATAACACCCATTCAATGACTCACTAAAAAAAAGTAATTATGCAAACAGATTGAAAACGGATAGAAAAAAGCTATATGAGGCAAACACTAACCAAAATAAAAAAATGTGTAGCAGGCCAGGCGTGGTGGTGCATGCCTGTAATCCCAGCATTTTGGGAGGCCAAGGGGGGCAGATCGCTTGAGCTCAGGAGTTTGAGACCAGTCTGGGCAACATGATGAAACCATGTCCCTACAAAAAATAAAAAAATTAGCCAGAGTGGTGGTGCATGCCTGTGGTCCCAGCTACTTGGGAGGGTGAGGTGGGAGGATGGCTTGAACCCAGGAGGCAGAGGTTGCAGTGAGCTGAGATCGTGCCACTGCACTCCAGCCTGGGTGACAGAGCCAGACCTTGACTCAGATAAAAAAATGTGTAGCATTATTTGTATCAGACAAAACAATCATTATTATGAATGAATATTATTATAAAAAGGATTACTAATGATAAAAGAAAAATTTATCTGGAATTAACAATTCTAAACTTGTCTTACTTAACCAACATAGTCTTGAACAATCTATAGCAAAAATTAAGGATAGAGAAAATAACAATTCATAATCTTAGTTCTGGAGGTTTTGCTTAAAGCACCTTTCTTAGTAACTGATACACTAAGAAGCCAAAAATCTGTGTAAGCAGAATATTTGAACAATATATGAAACCCATCAATTAGACATCACATATTATTGTAAGAAAACATGGAACATTTATAAAAATCAGTCTTGTATTAGCTTACCAAGGAAGGCCTAAATACCAAATAATCAATACTTTAGAGCAAGGACCAGCCATCTATGATCAGTAGGCCAAATCCAACCTCCTGTTTTGCAAATAAAGTTTTATTGGCACACAGCCATATCCATTTATTGACATATTATCTATGGCTGCTTTCACACTTCAATGGCAGAGTTAAGTAGTTGTAACAAAGAATATATGACCCACAAAGCTTAAAATATTTACTATATGGCCTTTTATAGAAAAATTGCTGACCTCTGCCATGAAGAATAGGTTATTAGAACACAGTGCAGTGTTAGAAATCAATAATACACACACAGACAAAGTTTTAGAAATTAAAACCTATACTTTGAAATAATTCAGAGATCAAAGAAGAAAGTCTAAATGGAACTTAAAGAATGTATCAATATCTAACATTGAAAATGTACATTTCAAAATATGAGACACAGGAAAAGAAGACATCAGAGAGAAATTTAGCCCTGAAAATGTTAATATTTATAAGAAAGATTTAAAATTAATGTGCCAAGTATTCAACTCAAGAAGCTAGGAAGGGATTGCCAATTGATTTTGGACAAGAGCGCCAGACAATTCCATGGAGAAAAACTAGTCTTTTCTACAAACGGCCCTAGAACAGTTAGATGTTTACATACTAAAGAGTGAAGTTGGAGCCCTACCTCACACCATATACAAATATTAACTAAAAATGCATCAAAGACCTAGATATAAGAGTTAAAACTATAGAATTCTTAGAATAAAACATAGGTATAAATCTTTGTGATCTTGAATTAGGCTATGGTTTCTTAGATATGACACCAAAAGCACAAGCAACATAAGAAGATCATAGATACATTGGACTTCATTAAAAACAGCTGTGCTTCAAAGGACACTATTATAAAATTGCAAAGACAACCTACAGAATGGAAGAAAGATTTGGAAATTATATATCTGACTAGAGCCTGGTATCCAGAATATATAAAGACTAATTATAACACAACAATAAAAGACAACCCAATTAAGAAATGAATAAATAATTTGAATAGATATTTCTCTGAAGAAAATATACAAATGACCGCCAAGTACATGGAAGAGATGTTCAACATCATTAATCATTGGGGAAATGAAAATCAAAACCAAAATGAGATTCCGCTTCACACCATTAGGATGACTATAATAAAAAAGATTGACAATCACAAGTGTTGATGAGGATGTGGAGACATTGGAACCCTAGTGTATTGCTGGTGGGAATGTAAAATGGTGCCACTGCTTTGAAAAACAGTCTGGTAGTTTCTCAAAAGATTCAATATAGAGTTACCATATGACCCAGCAATTCCACCCCAGACATGTACCCAAGAGAAATGAAAAAACTATGTCCACAAAAATGTGTACATGAATGTTCACAGAAGCACTATTCCTAACAGCCAAAAAGTAGAAATAACCTAAATGTCCACCAACTGAAGAACAGATAAACAAACTGTGGTATGTGCATACAATGGAATATTACTCAGCCATAAAATGAAGAACTGATTCATACTACAACATGGGTGATCCTTGAAAACATGCCAAGTGTAAGAAGCCAGACACAAAAGGCCACATGTGGTGTGATTCCATCTCTAGGAAATGTCCAGAATAGGCAAATTCATAGAAACAAAGTTGATTACTGGTTGCCAAGGACTCGGGGAAGGGAGAAATAGGGAGTGACTGTTAATGGGTACATAGTTTCTCTTTGGAGTGATGAAAATACTGTAGAATTAGATAATGGTGGTGGTTTCATAACTTTGTGAAAATACTAAAAGTCACTGAATGGTATACTTTAAAAGGGTAAATATGGTGTGTGAATTCTATCTCAATTTTTTTAAATAAAAGAGAAAAGAAGCTAGAAATGAGACGTCAGGATAAAACAAATGAAAATAGAAGGAAGTAATAAAGTAAATAACATTAATGTAATAAAGAAAATGAAAAGAATTAATCAGGTGCGGTGGCTCATGCCTGTAATCCCAGCACTTTGGGAGGCTGAGGCGGGCGGATCACTTGAGGTCAGGAGTTCGAGACCAGCCTGGCCAACATGGTGAAACCCCATCTCTAGTAAAATACAAAAATTAGCCGGACATGGTGGCACGTGCCTATAATACCAGCTACTCAGGAGGCTGAGGCAGGAGAATCACTTAAACCCAGGAGGTGGAGGTTGCAGTGAGCTGAGATTGCGCCACTGCAACCGAGGTGATAGAGTGAGACTCTGTCTCAAAAAATAAATATATAAATAAACAAAAACAAAGAAAAGAGTCAGCAAAAACAAAACCTGATTTTTAGGAGAAAAAGTATAAAAACTAGAGTGAAAATGCTCCAAATTAAAATAATGAGGGATTCTAAGCAAGCCAACTGAAAACAAAATTTTAAATTATCTGACTGGTGAATGAAATGCATGCAGATTCAGTGACTGGTGTCCATGGGTTTCAGCATTCTGTTCCACCCACCTACCTCTGCCATTGGGGGAGGCCTAATGTGTGGACTCAGAACCTTCCATCGAACCTCCTTGTGTTTCCCACACTACTGTCTTAAGGGTCCAGATGCCAAAAGTTGGGAGTTTTATGAGGGTCTGCTTTTTCCAGGGTTTTTCTTACAAGTAATTTTTCCAGTGTCACAATCTGATCCACTCTCCTTGTTGTACTGGCCAAATTATTTCAAAATATGCAACACTGACCATTTTGGATCAAGGCAAGGGATTGACCCAGTTTGTTCCCCCAATGCTTGTGGCTCTGAGCAGAAAGTCCACCCCAACCTCAGCCCCACCCAAAGAGCTGTGAGGTATCCCCATCCATTTGATTCTGTGGCCCATGTGACCTCTTTCAAGGCCTCAGACAAGCCAAACCCACTCCCATCATAGCCCTGTATGTTTATTACATGTACTCTTCCCCCATCTGGAAAACTACCACCCAGGGCTTCCAAACCCTGAACTGATGAAATAGCCCCTTTAGAACATGTTTTAACACCCCCTTTTTGGAATCGTGGATAATACAACCTCAGCCATAATTCACAGGAGGAATCAAAGGGCAAAGTCAATAGTAACCCAACTGTCTTGCAGATGGCCAGGAGAATACCACACTCCTGCACAGCCCTGGGACCTCGCATGCCACAGCTGAAACCTTCTCTCCCCGGGTCCGAAGAGCCACAACCTCAAGGACAGAGAGGATATGGCCTGGCGGAGTCATCCCCTACGTCATTGGAGGGAACTTCACTGGTCAGTAGCCACAGACAAGGCCTGCTTTGGGTCAGGGTGCTTTGTCTCCCTGGGTTGAGACAGTCCTTCTAGGAAGGACCCGGGTGGGAAGGAGCAGATGTTCAGGACCACAGCAGACCTACAGATGGTGTCCCCCTCTTGCTGGCAAGGCCTGGCCCACCAGTCCTGGGGAAATTGCAATCTGTGTTGGGGCTATGTCCTCAAAGTTGGTTACCTTGCTCCCAATGCTTCGTGTGGGGAGTGACTTGCAAGGACCTTGAAGGATAAGCGGGGTTTGCATGATGACTGTTTGAGGACAAGCCCTCCGCATAGAAGAAAGTCCATGAGCAACTGCACGTGGTTGGCTTCCCTGTCCTTTGCCTGGATGAGTGTCCTGGACTCAGAGGTCCCCTGCCACCACCCACAAGCAGTGTTCCACTCAGTGACCAAAGCGACCAGTGGACATGGCTCGACTCTCTGGGTCCAAATCTCAGCTCCAGTGCTTGCCAGCAAAATGCCCTGGGGAAATTAGCCTCTCTGTGCCTCAGTTCCCTCTTCTGTAAATGGGGATGATAATATCTTCTACCCCATCTGGTTGTTTTGAGAATCAGATGGATTACTATAGATAAAGCGCTTAGAGTGGTGCCTGGCACACAGTAATGAGTAAGTATCTGATATTAGTATTCCCTTTAAAATATGTGAATCATTTGCGGCTTCCTGTTGCCACTAGAATGAAATTCCTGACCACGGACCTGTGAGGCCCTCCCTCGAGTACCCCGCCATCCCTCTCCTGCTTGGCCTTTGACCCTCTCTCCCCTTCTCCCATCCTTCATCCCTATGCTCCTGCCTCACCAGCCATGTGCCTATCCCAAGACGTGCCCACCTCATAGGCCCCTGCGCACTCACACTTCAACTTGCCTTCTGTCTCCCTTGGATGCCCTTTCCCCAGGTCTTTGCATGGCTGTCTTCTTCTTATCATTTGAGTCTTATGTCAAGGGACACTTCACAGGAAGGCCTTCCGCCCTGCCCCCGCCAGCACCTCCCTGTCCCCAGACCCTGCTTTATAACCTTGGCAGCACTTACCATGACCTGAACTCACTTTACTTCTATTTCTGTTTCATTTATTTTTGTCTCTGCCTCAGCTCTGTGGGAGCAGCAGTCTTTTTTCTGTCTCATTTCCGCTTCCATATCTCCAACACGGAGACCAAGGCCCGGCACATCCTAGGCAGGTAGTAAATCTGCCCACTGCGTACCTGCGGCCAATGTCAGTGGAATGCCTGAGTGACAAGCCACACTGAGAGACTTTCCCAGGCTCTCAGTGTCACTTACAAGTCCTTCCCCTTCCTGTGGCTCTGTGACCTCTACTCTGAGAGGTGGCTGATGAAGGCAGATTCCCTGAGGATTTGCCAAAGCCACTGAGAACCGCTGATGAGTAAGTTAGGGAACGGTGAAGACCTTAGCAGCAGGGCAGCGGAATTCCTGCAGTTCCCTTTTGCTCCCACAGCATTAACCCACGGCTTCCTAGTGCCAGGTGCTTAACTAGGGATTGGTGGTAAAAAAGATGACTAAGATTTCACCCTGCCCTCAAGGAGGTCTGTTCTCACAGCAGAGAGAGGTGAGTGCCTAAAGAAAAAAAAAATAGAAACGATAAACAGCTACAAACTTTTGTTCCTTGGTATCCTAACTGTGTTCTTTCAGATCTGGTGTGCTTTTCTGACCAAAGATTTATATTCCTTTCATCAAAGTGAACTAGTTTTATATATAAGAATTTTGTTGATGCAAGTATTTCATGTTATTAGGTAATTAGTAGGGTTGCTATTTTTGGTAAGTGATTGAGCTATAAACAATTTGAGCCAAAAATGTCAAGATGTCAGACAAGAAATGCACAGCTGTTATTCTATTTTTTGTTGTTGTTTGTATTTTCTTGCATTCTTTTATTTATTTATTTTTTTGAGACAGGGTCTTGCTCTGTTGCCCAGGCTGCAGTGCAGTGGCATGATCACGCCTCACTGCAGCCTTAACCTTTCGGGCTCAAGTGATCCTCCCACCTCAGCCTCCTGAGTAGCTGAGACTACAGGCATGTGCCACCAAGCCCAGCTAATTTTTTTTTTCTTAATTGTTTGTAGAGACAGGGTTTCACCATGTTGCCCAGGCTGGTCTCAAACTCCTGAGCTTAAGGGATCCACCTGCCTTGGCCTTCCAAAGTGCTGGGATTACAGGCATGAATCACCATGCCCAGCTGTTATTCTTTATTCTATATGAATGTTTTTGGGGACAACAATGTGATACCATCCCCACATCCTGTAGGCAATGATGGGAGCCTCCCCGAGTGCTGTTGCGCTAGTCCGTTTGTGTTGCTCTAAAGGAATACCTGAGGCTGGGTAGTTTGTAAGGAAAAGAAGTTTGTTTTGGCTCACGGCTCTGCCGGCTATCTGAGAAGCATGGTGGCAGCATCTGCTCCTGGTGAGGCCTCAGGAAGCTTGCAATCATGGTGGAAGGCAACAGGAAGCCAGAACGTCACATGGTGGGAGGGAGGAAGAGAGAGGTGGGGGAGGTGCCACACACTTTTAAACAACCAACTCTCACATGAACTCAGAGCGAGAGTTCACTCACCAAGGGGATGGTGCTAAGCCCTTCTTGAGGAATCCACCCCCATGACCCAAACATCTCCCACCCGGCCCACTCCAACACTAGGGATTATGTTTCAAAATGAGATTTGAAGGGGACAAACATCCAAGTGATGTCAGCTGTTTTGTTTTGCTTGTAATTTTCATTTTTGTTTTGCAATGAGGGCCCTGGAGAACTCATACCTCCAACTCCCACCATCCTTCATACTTCCCAGACAACCTAGATCCTTCTCATTGCTTCTAGGAAAATTTAAACAGTCTTCCTTCTAGATTTTGAAAAGAACTGACTGACTATATGTAACTGTCACCCTGGAGTTTTACTATTTAGCAAATTTCCACTCAAGGAAATACCAAGACAGGTTCAGAGAAAGTATGAAATTCACCTATTTTTAAAGGCCTAGAAGAAAAATTAGGCTCAAGGATTCCCCACAAGACACTGAAACTCTGTGCAAAAACACACAGATGTATATGCAAATAGAAATTTTAGAGTGCATAGGAGCACCCTCCTACAATTCTAAAAGAAAATGAGGGGGTCAAGTGCAGCGCTGGTGAGCTGGAGTTTACTCCCCTCTACTTCAAAAGCCTGCAGTTTCCAAATGGAAAAACCTGGATAAAGTTTTGTAAAAGTTTGGAAAATACTTTCAATACAAAGGAAAATTTGGGAAGCCCAGGATATTTTGAAAATCTATTTTTACCCTCCCTTCCAATCCACAAACTCCTACTCTCTAGGTTTTGGCAACTGAGAAAAGTTATGTTGTGTTTTTAGCAAGGGAAATCCTGATTCCTGGAAATTCCTGGAATATTTCTATTCTGGGTCACCAGAACAAGCTTTTTTTTTTTTTTTTTTTTTTGGAAAATATTTAATTGACAAATAAAAATTGTATATATTCAAGGTATACAACATGAAGATTTTATGTATTATGTCTTGATCACCATAATCAAATTAATTAACACATCCATCACCACTCATGCTTACACTGGAGGGCTGGTGAGGACACAAAATCTGTTCTTTTATCAAATTTCAAGTAAACGATATAGTATTATTAACAATCTTTTTTTTTTTTTAATTGTTGGAACATCCTTTGTCTTAACTCAGCATGCTTTAAAGCATCTAAGGAGGCTGGGTGCCGTGGCTCACGCCTGTAATCCCAGCACTTTGGGAGGCCAAGGCTGGCAGATCACTTGAGGTCAGGAGTCGAGACCAACCTGACCAACATGGTGAAACCCTGTCTCTACTAAAAATACAAAATTAGCCGGACGTGGTGGCGCATGTCTGTAATCCCAGCTACTCGGGAGGCTGAGGCAGGAGAATCGCTTGAACCCGGGAGGCGGAAGTTGCAATGAGCTGAGATTGTGCCATTGCACTCCAGCCTGGGCAACAAAGGCAAAACTCCGTCTCAAAAAAAAAGCATCTAAAGAAAGTACGGACCCATCATTGAAGTTGAGTGCTTGCCCTGTTGTTTCAGGGAGCCAGAGGGCCATTTTTAAGCAGGCCATGAGACACTGGGAGAAGCACACCTGTGTGACCTTCATAGAAAGGACCGACGAGGAAAGCTTTATTGTATTCAGTTACAGAACCTGTGGGTAAGTAAGCAAAAGCAAGGCCGCCTCTGCAGAATCAGTCGGATGGCTCATGAGTCTTGAGTTTTCTCTGTAGACCTAAGTATTTCCAATGAGCTGTTATTTAGAGGAGTCCAGGGTTTGCTAGAAACTTTCTGCCCTTGGTGAAATTACAATCCAGTGGCAAAGCTGGTGGGTCAAGAGGAACATTCCGGGAGACTCCATGAAGACCAGGGGTTCTGCACTAGGAGAGCAACAGAAGGAACTGGTGGTGTGTCACATGAAGACTTAAAGCAGTGGTTCTTAACCTCTTGGAGTTGGTGTCCTCGTTTAGAATCTGATGAACCGGTGGGCTTTCCTTCTTCAAGAACAGATGAATATGTATGTAGAATTTTGCATTTAATTTGAGGGACTCTACAGATTTACAGACTTCCTTCAGAAAACAATATATAATAAAATGACTGGCTTATGACTAAAGTTATCTGTTATGTCAATAAATATGTGTGATATACTTTCCTACCGAAAGAAAAAGGTTCTCATGTTGGATCAAAAACCCAAACCTGGCTGGGAGTGGTGGCTCACGCCTGTAATCTCAGCAGTTTGGGAGGCTGAGGTGGGAGGAGCACCTGAGGTCGGGAGTTCTAGACCAGCCTGGTGGTCCAGACCATGGTGAAAACCCATCTCTACTAAAAATACAAAATTAGCCAGGTGTAGTGGCACATGCCTGTAATCCCAGCTACTTGGGAGGCTGAGGCAGGAGAATCACTCGGAGCTGGGAGGCGGAGGTTGCAGTGAGCCGAGATCCTGACATTGCACTTCAGCCTGGGCAACAAGAGCAAAACTCCATCTCAGAACAAAACAAAACAAAACAAAAAAACAAAACAAAACCCAACTACATGTTCTATACATAAGATGATTACTGAAGAAAACAACCTAGAGAGATTTAAAAGTAAAAGGAAAGAAGCCATACAGGTAAATGCTAACAAAGAGAAAGCTGGGATCACAATTTTAGTCATTGACTAGGTTTTCACTGTTTTGTTGTTTTTAAAGTCAGAAATGTTAAACAAAACCAAAGCCAAGACACTTTATAATGAGAAAGGGTATAGGCGACGGTGAGAATATAACTGTCATAAATCTTCATGCACCAAATAGCATAGCATCAAGAGTCATAAAATAAGCCCCAGGAAATTCAAGGGGAAATTGACAGAAATGCTCAGTAGCACAAGACTTAATTCATTTCTGTCAACCCAAGTAAGTCAGTGTCACGTTGACCAAAAAATAAGTAGAGATTCACAGAGGATTTGAAAAATACACTTAATAGAATTGATTCTACAGGTCTATCAGATTCTATAACCTCATAATAACATATTTTTTTAAATGGCCTATCTATTAAGCATTAAGAACATCTTAATGAATTCTAAAAGGCAGAAATAGCACCAAGATATTTTCTGATTGCAAAGCAGTGAAACTGGACATAATATAATAACAAAAATAGAATAAACATTAGCTGGTAAGTTAAAAGTGCCCCCATGCTTCCCTTTTTATGGCTCCTAGATCATAAAAACAGCAAGATTAAAACTGCAGAATGTCTAGATAATGAAAGTCCTATGTTCAAAATAAAAGAGCTATAGCTAAAGCTATGTCCAGACAAAAATCCACAGACTTAAATATCCACATTACCCATTGACAATAGTGACAATAAAATATTCAATTTAAGGAAGCCAGCAAAAATAAATACTTACAACCCACCACCATCACCACAACAAAATAAACTTAAGGAGAGCACAAGGAAACAGACAAGGTGAAATATTATAGGGCTAACAAATTCAAGAGTAAATTATTTGAATAAACAAACAAACAAACAGAAAACAGTAGACAAACCACTTGTTAGTTTAACTGAGACAAAGTATGATCATACAGAAATACATAGAGTTAGAAATGAAAATGGGAGAAATAGCCACAGATTCAGCAGAATCACAAAGGAGTAGTTTGCAAAACTGTAGGGCAAGGAGTGTGAAAATGTGGATAATGTGAAAGTCTTCAAGGTAAATATAAAGTACTGGTACAGACCAAGAACTTTGAATGAAGTTGAAGAACGGAGAGAAAAAGCCATCTCACACAAAGCACCAGACCCAGAGTTTCACAAGTGAATCCTTTCAAAACTTCAAAAACAGATTATTCTGGTATATTTAAACTTTTTAGAGCATGTAGAAAGAAGAATGCTTTCAAATTACTTTTGAGGAACTGTTATGACATTACTACGTTGAAATGAAAAGGATGGCACCAAATAAATAGAGAAAGAAAGGAAAACATGATAAAAAAGATAAGAAAGAAAAAATTGGCCGGGCGCGGTGGCTCACGCCTGTAATCCCAGCACTTTGGGAGGCCGAGGCGGGCGGATCACAAGGTCAGGAGATCGAGACCATGGTGAAACCCCGTCTCTACTAAAAAAATAGAAAAAAAATTAGCCGGGCGCAGTGGCGGGCGCCTGTAGTCCCAGCTACTCGGGAGGCTGAGGTAGGAGAATGGCGTGAACCCGGGAGGCGGAGCTTGCAGTGAGCCGAGATTGCGCCACTGCACTCCAGCCTGGGCGACAGAGCGAGACTCCGTCTCAAAAAAAAAAAAAAAAAAGAAAAAGAAAAAAAATTATAGACTCATCTCACATATTGAATAGCCATGCAAAATCCTAAATAAAATGTTAGCACATAGAATTCAGCAGCAGAAGAAAAGAAGAGGAGGCTGCCAAATACATTTATCTAGGGAATACAAGATTAGTTCAACATTAGAAAATCTATTCTCAAGTTTGATTGGTCAAAGAAGAGAAGCTATATTCATATCTCAATAGATGCTAAAAGGCACCTGTACAATACAACATGCAGTTTTTATTTTAAAAAAGTAACCAAGGTAGCACAGAAATAGATGTCAAGGATAAAGGATAGGTTCTTGCATTACAAATATATATATATACACACACACACACATACAAATATACATTTATATAAATAACTTCCAACCAAAAGCCAATATCATGTTTATCGATGATACTTCTACAAGCATTTAATTTTAGTTAAAATCAGGAACCAGTTTAAGATGTTTAGGGATACCACAATTATTTAGCATTGTTTTGGAAATACTAATTAATATAAATTAGACAAGAGAAAGAAAGAAACACTGTGAATATTGGCAGTAACAAAGAGGCAATGTTTGCACTGATGGGAGCTAATTTGATTGTGTGCCTAGAAACCCCAGAATATCAATTGAAAAGCTGTTAGAAACACAAGGAGACTCTATTAAGTGACCACAAAATTAATTAATTAACAAAACTAGGTGACTGATTTTCTTTATACATGAAATAGTTTGATACACTTTTATCATGGGAAAAAAATCACAACTTTAATAGAAACATAATAGATACTATATCTAAGACTAAACATAAATGTGCCAGACCTATAGGAAGAAAATGCTAACACTCCCAGGAACCTAACAAAAAAAAAGTAAAAATAGAAAGCATATTGCTTCCTGGTATAGGAATACTCAACATAGTAAAGATGTCAGAACTCCCTAAAATAAGCTGTAAATTCATGCCTTTCTGATTTAAACACCAACATTTATATATATATATATATGTACATGTGTATGTATGCATACATATTTTTAGAGCTTGAACGAATGATACTAGAGTTTATCTGGAGGAACAACCATGTGGAAATAACTAGAGAGAGAGAAAGAGAGAGAGAGAGAAAGAGAGAGAGAAAACAGTAATGACATAGGTAGCTATCTAATGGTCTAACCAAACATGCAGAATATTAAAATGCAAAGGGAAGATAATAACAAAACAGTTTGGAACTTAAGGGAAAAATAGATATATAGAAAAAAGGGTCCAAAATGAATATACCTGTACACAAATTTGGGTAACAGTTTAAATGAGTGAGAGAAAGTCAATAGTGATATTTGAGTATTGGGATAATTTAGATAGCTCTCTGTGAAAAAAAGAAAAAAAGCTGGACTCCTACCTCACTTCTTATACCAAAAACTATTCTAGCTAGATCAAAGATGTAAGTATTGAAGACAAAGAAATGGAAGAAAGAAAGAAAAAATCCAAAAGAGTATAAGAAGGAAACAAGAGTAAATTTTATTTGTAATCTTGAAATATGGATGACCTTTCTAAGCAGCACATAAGAAAATGAAGACATTTTATAATACTAACATTAAAAACTTTTATAATGCAAAAAGAAAACAAAACAATACATAAACAAAAAAAAGTCAAATGAGAACTCACAAAGTGAGCAAAATACTTGCAACACTCTTGACTAGTTTCTCTAATTTACAAAGGGTTCTTAAATATCAATTGTAAGAAAATGGACAACCCGAAAGAAAACAGGGGTAAGAGGTGATCACATAGTTCACAGACAAAAAAAAATACCAATGTCACATAAAATATGTGAAAAACTATCCAGCCTCAATGCAGTGAAATCCCATTTTTTACCTATCCAATTGGCAAAAACCAGTGTTTGATAAAACCAGTGTTGGCCAGGATAAGGGAAATAGGACTTAAATATTTTTTAAGCTTCTGTGAGTAAACAGTAGGTGTATATATTTGTTGGGTACCCGAGACGTTTTGATACAGGCATGCAATGTGAAATAATCACATCATGGAGAATGGGGTATCCCTCCCCTCCAGCATTTATCCTTTGTGTTACAAACAATCCAGGTATTGTGTTACAAACAATCCAATTAAGTTATTATTGACTATAGTCACCCTGTTTTTTTGTCAAATAGTATATCTTATTCATGCTTTAATTTTTTTTTTTTTTTTACCCATTAACCATCTCCACCTTCCCCACCAGTCCCCCATTACCCTTCCAGCCTCCTATAACCATCCTTCTAGTCTCTATCTGTATGAGTTCAATTGTTTTAATGTTTAACTCCCACAAATAAGTAAGAACATATGTTTGTCTTTCTGTGCCTGGCTTATTTTAATTAACATAATGATCTTCAGTTCCATTCCTGTTGTTGCAAATGACAGGATCTCATTCTTTTTTGTGGCTGAATAGTACTTCATCGTGTACTTGTACATATTTTCTGGGCATACACATTTTCTTTATCCATTCGTCTGCTGATGGACACCTAGGTTGCTTCCAAATCTTAGCTATCATGAACAGTGCTGCAACAAACATGAGAGTGCAGATATCTCTTCAATAGACTGATTTCCTTTCCTTCAGGTAAAGAGAAAGGGGCTTTTAATATCTTCTTAGTGAGTATATAAACAGACAACATTTTGGGAGTGCAATTTGACAGCATCTGTCAAAATTTCAAATGCACATATCCTTTTATCCATGAATCCCATTGGTAGAAATGTACCTTACCATTTCTTTGTTTCATTTGTTGTTGTTTTTGTTTGTTTTGCTTGTCATCCTCTCCCCCGAGGCCTTGTTAAAATAGCAAAAACTGGAGTTCCAGCCCAGATGTACATTAATGGAAGACTGATGAAATACATTTTAGTATTACAAAAATGTATATAAATATTATTTGAAAAAAAATGATTGTGCCCGGAAGGGAGTCGTCTCTAAGCCTCCTCTGATAATGACCCCAAGTTGCATGCATTATAGACACTCACCTGCCTCCTTCCCCTGACTCCTCCTTTTCATTAAAAATGGCCCAGCAGGGACTCCAGCACCTTGTGGGTGGAGGGTGGAGTATGGTATACACTTTATATCAGGCAGAGACCATATCTTTCGTCAGCTTTTCAAGAAGATTCATAACCACAAAAAGGTTAAGAACCATTTTTGGAGGGAATTTCTGCATTGGGTCATTGGGTGGGAAGTCAGACACTGAAATTCTGTTTCTTTTCTTTTCTTTTTGAGACGGTGTTAAGCTCTTGTTTCCTAGGCTGGAGTGCAGTGGCGTGATCTTGGCTCACTGCAACCTCTGCCTCCTGGGTTCAAGCAATTCTCCTGCCTCAACCTCCCAAGTAGCTGGGACGACAGGCACACACCACCACACCTGGCTAATTTTTGTATTTTCAGTAGAGACAGGGTTTCACCATGTTGGCCAGGCAGGTCTCAAACTCCTGACCTCAGGTGATCCTCCCACCTCAGCCTCCCAAAGTTCTGGGATTACAGGCGTAAGCCACTGCACCCAGCCTGAAATTCTGTTTCTTTTACATGTGCACACACACACACACACATGCACACACGCGCACACCTACAGAGTGGGAGGGGGGACTTGCCTCTTGCTCTAAATGTCTTCTGACCTGCTGACCTGGGTATTCCCGCAATTGTCCAGCTGTTGCTCCTATGTTGGGCGCCGAGGAGGAGGCCCACAGGCCATATCCATTGGGAAGAACTGTGACAAGTTTGGCATTGTGGCTCACGAGCTGGGCCATGTGGTTGGGTTTTGGCATGAACACACCCGGCCAGACAGAGACCAACATGTCACCATCATCAGGGAAAACATCCAGCCAGGTAAGGAGGCCTGTGTGGAGTCTGGAAGGCACTGGTTGAGAAGGTGGCAACCTCAGGGACAGGAGGGAGGGAAGGAGAGGACTCGCTGGGAGCTGAGCAATGCTAATTGCTGAATATGGAGCAATGACTCTGTTGTGCAGGCCCTTCTCACCAGTATGACCACTGTCCATCCGTGGCTTCCTGGGAGGTCATCTGCCATAGCTTGGAGGTTGGAGCAGAAGCAAAATTATTTTCTATGTGTTATAGGATAATGAAATCTAACTCCGTTTCCTGAAAGCAACACAGTCGACCAGAACACTGTTGCAGCATCAGAGCTGATAAGCAAAAAAAAAAAAAAAAAAAAAAAAAAAAGAGTTCTCCTCGCTGCTTTTATGAGTTATTTTTGCTGACTTAGGCAACGTGTTTTCTGAAACTGAAATACAATTAGGACATGAACACATGTAAAAACAGTGTTTCTGCCTAGAAACATTCTGCCCCAAGGCAGATAAAATGTTTAGAATTAAAAAAAAAAAAACTTTCTTATGTCAAATAATTTTATATGGAAGTTAATATTAAGCATGAAAGTAGCTAGTTGAAGAATATGATCACCTTACAAATACTTTAGAGAATCTGAATTGTGAGCTATTTAGGATTGAACTTAACTCTGATTCATTTTCTTTTGTTTCTTCAAATTGCAAGATCAGGTTTTTGTTTGATTATTTGTTTTGTTTTTTGTTTGTTTGTTTTTTTGAGACAGAGTCTCGCTCTCGCTGCCCAGGCTGGAGTACAGTGGCGTGATCTTGGCTCACTGCAACTTCCGCCTCCCGGGTTCAAACGATTCTCCTGCCTCAGCCTCCTGAGTAGCTGGGATTACAGGTGCCTGCCACCACGCCTGGCTAATTTTTGTACTTTTAGTAGAGACGGGGTTTTGCTATGTTGGCCAGGCTGGTCTCGAACACCTGACCTCAGGTGATCCACCCGCCTCAGCCTCCCAAAGTGCTGGGATTACAGGCATGAGCCACGGCACCCGGCCCAGAATTTTTTATTTTTATTTTTTATTTTTTTTGCGAGGGCAAGTGAGTTGATAACTAATCTGTCTGCAAACTTACTTTAAGAGATTTGAGTGGCATTTGGGATAGGTCTCGGGTGGTGGAGTTGGGAGAACACAGGGCTTGCTGGAAGTTTCAAATTTCTAATTATTCAAAACAACAAGAACCACTACAAGCCCTGTTATTTGACTGATTGGGCCAAGAGAGCCCTGGGAAGTTGCTATGGGCCCTCCTTCTCCTTCCTCTGCCTCCTTTCAGGTGCCTGACTTGGTTTTCCAAGGCCTTAACACAGTGTTGTGTCACAGGTCAGGAGTATAATTTCTTAAAAATGGAAGCTGGGGAAGTGAGCTCTCTGGGAGAGACATACGACTTTGACAGCATCATGCACTACGCCCGGAACACCTTCTCAAGGTCGGAATCTATGCTTATGCCTCGTCTGTGTTTCACTGTGCCTGCCGCAGGCTTGGGTCGGATTCCTGGAGGTCTGCAGAGAGTGGGTCTCTGCATGCTCCTAGCACGGCTGGCCTGTCTGTCCTTGAAATACAGTGGCCTCTGGGCTGCAGTGAAATATAATCTAATCAGGTTCCCGTTAATAAGATTGAATCCCATTGTGAAGCTGACATTCCATCATGCCCTAATGTCACAAGCAGCAAACTGGAAAAGGGAAATTATCTAGAGGTTGGCTGGGATAATAACTTAGAGGCTCTGTGTCAAATTTCCAGTGGGTGCGGGGAGTTTTTGTAGAAGCATGGTGGTGCTCACCAATTCTCCTAGTAGAGGTTTGGTTTATTGGAAACTAGGCGGTGTCAGGGCTGGGAGGGCTGTAAATCATCAATTCATTTTAGAGATGAAGACAATGAGGCTCCAGCCGGCTCTCAGATGCACAGGTAACTGAGGACTGGAGTGAGAGCAAGGACCTAGGTTCCCACCTGCAGGTCACAGATGATGGAAGCTGCTGTATTCAAGTAGGGCTGGGCCATTTATTTAGGGCTGGCATGGGCAGGGTCTGTTCTGATGAGCTGTTCTGATGTGCTGTGCCTAGCAGACATGAAAGATTTTCAGTATTGTCCTTGCTTCTAGACCCTGTAAGTGCTTTGTGTGCAGAAGTTTTTCCCTACTTGTCCCAGTTTTGTAGGTCTTTCTACCCTTGAGTTAAAGCAGGCACAGAGAACAAATATTTTCTCTCTTGGTGCTTTCTCTTCAGTCTCCTGTTAAAACCAGTTGTTTGCTTGTTTATTTATTTATTTCCCCCAAAAAGATCTGTGGTAACTTCCAATATACACATGGGATAACAAAGATAAATAACAGGTGAGAAAACTGGGGGAAAGGAGAAGGAAAAAGTAAGGCTAGAAAGCTAAGTTGAGGCCCAGAATAAGTTTAGAGTATATGCTGTGAGGTCATGTACACTTGGTTGGAGTTGACAGCAAATCCTGCCCTGTGCTTCCTAGCAGTCACAGCAAAGAGGGAAATAATCCATTCCAGGAGTCTCCATGTCCATAAAGATTTGCTCAGAAAACATATGGCTCTTGGGAGTGAAAGGGAAATTGTTTGCAAAGGGCTCCTTGGCTCTTGGGTAAGGCTGCCAAAAGCATCCTGTTGATGAGTTTATTGTTAGGACTATGAGAGAAATCATCTAAATCTCAGCATCCCAAGTTCTCAGGCGGTGCTGTTCCTCTGGCCACACAGCTGCTTTAGTCATGATCTCTATCCTGCACCCAGACATGAGATCTAATGGGTGGAGTTGTGTTGAAGCTGGCATCTTTGACAGCACTTGGGAGTGGCATGAAATTAAGCCTTCCTGGCCTCTTTGATCTTCTCCTGGCTCTTTTCCAAAGATAGTAGAAGAAACATGGTGTGATGAAGAGACCACCGAACTGAGAGGCAGAAGCTGGGTTCTAGTCCTAGTTCTCGTGTGACCCTTTCCTTTGAGGGAGGCAGACAGTAATTAGGGGCAGCTGTGTGATGGTTAAATCTCCACCTCCATGGGCCTTGGTTTCCTTGTGAGAGGGTTGGACTAGATGTTCTCTGAGCCCCTTCCGGCTCCAACCTTTCATGTTGCAATTTCTCAGTCTGGTGCAGATGGGTGAAGTGTTGACAGACATGATCTCATTCACTGCCATACAGGAAATCTGAAGCTGGAAGGGCCTCCTCTTGGGAAACTGAGACATTGAGGGATCCACCCTGAGGCTGCGTGCAGGGAGTCTCAGGATGCCAGTGCAGTGTGCAGATATCCAAGGGGGAGGCGATGCTTGGGTCTTGGGATGGGCTGATTCACCTGTTTGGGAAATGGTGCGGGGAATACCCAAAGGCCCAGCCCATCATCCAGGAGTTATAGGCTGCTACTAGAGACCAAGTATCAATTTTGTCAGGGAATCTATGTCAAGTTGGCCCAAGGGAGAAGCTTTTTCTTGGGTCTTGTTTCTGTAGCTGCCATAACTCTTCATATTGCTTTTTATCTATTACTAATTATTAATTTATATATTCATATTAATCTGTTGTATTCCCTTCTCTGGCAGTAGACTGAGATCCTTGAGGACAGAGACTATCTCATTCTCTTCTAGTGTCCAACACCCAACATAGTGCCTGCCACCTAGTAGGTGTTCAATAGATATTTGCTAAATGAATAAGTTAATGAATGAGTTCAAAGGGGCCAGGGGGACCTGGCAATGCTGGGGAATAGGTGAGGGTAGACATTTCCATGATGCTCTTTGCAGTTTTTCCATGTGCTCACCAATGCGATGGCTACTTTATTAAGGTGAATCTACAAGTCTGTACCATGTAGGGCATTTGTGTGCTGTGGGAACTGCACTGCCTTCTCACCACCTGCTCCATGCCAGGCACCGCACAAGCTCTGGAGCCAGAGGCCAGGACAGGATGCAGGCAGAGGATCTTCCAGCACCGGCATTTCTTTTCTTGTCTTTCTTTTGGAAATACATATATAGTTTTCTAGGATTGCTAGCTCATAATGCCATGCCTGTTGTCCCTCAGGGGATAACCATTTCTAACGCCCTGGTCAATGTGAACCATCAGCCCAGACCAGTGGAAATCCATGGGCCAAACCCATGAAATAAAAATTCCTCATCAAAAGTCCCCAGAATCTCTAGGAGGGAGATCAGCAGGGGCAGCACACGGGAGGGTGGGCAGCTAGGAGCAGAGTAGCTCGCCGAGGGCAGGTGGACCCTCCTGCTACTGTTACATTAGCTACTGCTGCAGAGCAGTTGACCCCCAAGCTTAGTGACTTAAAACAGCAGCTTATTACTTTTGATGATACTGTGGGTTAGTTAGTCAGGCTTGTTCTTTTCTGGTCTTTCCTGGGATCACTCACAGCAGCAGTCATCTGACAGACTGGGCTGGGGAGTCCAGGATGACCAGTCACACGCCTGGAACTTGGTGCTGCCTGTTCATGCCCCTCCGTTAGCTCTGGGAGCCCCTTGGTTCTCCTTCACGTGGCCTCTCATCCTCCAGTAGGCTAGACCAGACTTTTCACTGCAAGGGGACTCAGAGTTCCAAGAGGGCAAGCGGGGAAGCTGCAAGCCTCTTAAGGCCCCAGCTCTGGAACTTGCATGACATTACTTCTGCCACATTCTGTTGGTAAAAGCAAGCCACAAGGCCAGCCCCAAACTCAAGCGAGTGGAGAAATAGACTCCACCTCTTACTGGGAGGTATGGCAGCTTCACGCTGCAGTAGGATATGGCTGTTAGGAGGAGTGACTTTTTATTTTAACAATCTGCCACTGCTACCCTCTCACCTCTGCCCCAGAGTTGAGAATGGTTTCAGCAAATCTGTTTTGTTGCAGGTGGATAACTGCATTGTCTTTTCTGCCAACTTTTTACATGGATTTTCAGAAAACGATCTTGTTGAGTGGGTTTTTACTGGGGACTTTTCTATTGGCATTTTGTCAATAGTTTCCCCACACCCAACTCCATGTCATTATTTCTGGTCACAAAGACCCTGAAGCTGGCCTGTACCTCATGTTGGATTCTGTAAAAGAGCAGAATAGAGCCCGTAGAACATATGCTGATCTGGGGAGGCGGGCAAATGCTATACCCTGCTGATGGGAAACTCAATCTTTGTGTCTCTTTACGATTGAGCTGTCTCCTTCCAACTTTATTCCCTCTAGTTTATTGCAGTTCTTCTCCCCTCCCCTTTGGTTGGACCCAGGCTGTGGGGAGCAGTCTCTTTGGAGGTTTTGCTGGGCAAAGATCCAGGAGATGAGGAGACAGTTCTCTTGTACAGGGGCCTCTTTGTTTCAGAACTCAGCGCTGACAGTTTTATTCCCTGAGGCATCTGCTGAACTCTGTCTTAGTTTAGCAGAATGTCAATGCTTAGAGTTGTCCTACATGAAAGAGGGAAGGAACGTCACTGCTGTGGTTTACACAGGGGACGGCTCTTGTAGTAAACATCTTCCAGAGCTGGAAGCTCTTGCTGGCAGCTTAGGATATGCAAGGGAGGACGTCCAGCACCAAAGAGCGGTCTGAGTGCGAGCCAATGTTGTTCCTGATGTTTTGGTTTTTGAAGTCTGCAATGTTCTTAGCTCTATAATTTAATGCATCGTAAGGCCTACTGTTCCTTGGGCAGCAGGAAACACTGGCTGGAAGGAGGAGGATTCCCAGAGGTGAGCTCCAGGCCTGCCTCTCCATGACTAGCTCTGTGCCCTGGGAAAGTCACTTAAGCTCTGCCGGCTCAGTCTTCTCCCCCGTAGAGTGAGAGCTCTTGTGATAATGGCACCTGACTCCTAGGGTGCTATGAAGATGAAATGAGGTGGTGCAGGGAAAGGGCCCAATGCAGGGCCTGGCATGTCAGAAAGTCCTATGAACGATGAGTGAGTGCAAGGACATGGCCTCTATGCACCAGGCCCACTGGAGAAGTCATCTACGTGATGTGGCCAGGTAGCGTGGGGTGCTTAGAGACTGTGGTGATCCTTATGTTTGTGCTTCAGAATTCCTATCTGCAAGGGAACCAAGAAAATAATTACAAAAGGACACACCTTTCATTACGGCAGAAGTGACTGTTTCTGGAGTAGCTGCTGATTGAATTTAGGATTTTCCGAAGAGTCAACACTTGTGGTTTAAAATGTAGTAAAGTCAGTGAGTGAGGTCAAGGATTTCACTAAAGTTTCTCTACAGGAGTCCAGACCCAGAGATGAGGCTATGGGAGCTAGAGAAAGACAGGTCAAGGGTTACATGTTGGGTACGGAGATGCTGAAAAGGAAATCAGCAGATGATCTAGACTCCCACAGGCTAAGATTGGAAAGTGAGCTTAAAATCTGATTTAGGAAAAAAAAGAAAAGTCTACACAAAAACAAAAAGATAACAAAGTGATGTAACCAGGAAGAACCAGGGATAATAGTTATTTTCCAACGTAGTGCAGAATTTAGGGAAATAGAAACAGTGCTTGAAAGAGACAGAGAGAGAAAGAGAGAGAGAGCGAGCATGCACAGCTAATAGCTAGGTGACATGTACATTTTCGCTTCCATTTTGGATGTAAATAACTATTTTGCAAAGTTTTTAAAAGACAGTGCTTTATCCTGGTTACATACTTTAATTCAAGAAGCGTTTTTTGAGGCGTTCTGTGCTCTAGTTTCTAAGGACAGAGATAAAACACCCAGTCTCTCTGCTTGAGGAACTTAACTTTTAGCAAGGAAGACGAATGCCACCACTCCTTAAAAAAGACAATACAGTATGATAAGAAGAGACTACACAAATGATTAAGACCCAGAGCAGGGAATGATAAACTCCAGATGGGGGGAGTAGAAAAGGCTTGGGGAAGTCTTTTAATAGAGAAAGACATCTGATGGGGCTTTAGAGAATGAATAGGAGTTTACAAGTAGACAAAAAAATAGAGGGCATGGGCAGCCTAGGGAGCGGATAGCATGTGCGAGGACATATTTGGGGCCTACAAGGAGCTTAGTGTTGCTTAAAATAATGACATATGCTTTATTCTTGTTGAGTATTATTTTGGTTATGGGATTAACGAGTCAGGCTGGAGAGGAAGGCGGAAGTCAGTGAGCAAACAGCCTAGAGTCCGAGTGGTGACTGGAAGTTGGTGAAGGGTTCTAAGCGAAGAAGGCACGTGCCGCCCCTTGCATTTTGGGATGATTCCATTGCAGCATTGTGGCCAAGGGGAGCAGGGGAGCAGTAGAGTAGAAGTGGCTGAGTCTACAGGGAGGGAGGCCAGTTAAGAAGCTACTGGAAAGAGTTCAGGAAGGGGATATTGATCACTTGAGCTATGGCAACAGTCTGGGAACAAGGAAGAGGGTATGGGTTCAAGGGGTGGAAAAAAGGTATAGTGGACAGGAACTGGCTCCTGGTTTGGTAGGAGAGTGTGAGGGAAAGGGAGGAACTGAGAATGCCCTCAGATTCTGGCTCAGGAGACAAGGATCATGGAGTGAGCAGAAGGATGGAACTGTGATAAATTTGGTTTTGAGCATGTTGGATGTAAGAGGCCCATAGGACAGCCCAGGGGAGGTGTTATGAGGCATCTGGGGCTCAGCAGAGGATCCTGGGCTGGAAACAGAAGATTAGCTGTGAGGCTGCAGATGATCGTTAAAAGCCATAGGAGTAGATGGAACATGGAGAGAGAGGACAGAGGGAGAGGGCAGAAACCCAAGGGACATCATTGAAGGGGAAGCAGAAGTGGTTCTTGTCTCACTGCCCAGGGAGAGCTGTTGCCTGGACCCAGGGAGAAGACAGTGAGGAGGGAGGGGGCATCGGAGGTCCCAGTGCTGGAAAGAGGGCAGACAGATTGGAAGGTGTCCACTGGCAGACGAGTGGTGATGGTTGCTGATGGGGTCAGATCATCGTTGGACTGAGAAGTGAAAGAGAGTCGAGTACTCGGGGAATGGAGACAATACTTTCTAGAAACTTGGTTAAGAAGGGAAGAAAAAAAACAAGGTGGTGATTGGAGGAGGCGTGGATTCAAGGACAGGCCTAACATCCAGGAGAGGCCCCAGATCTGGGAGCAGAGGCCCCAGGTCTGGAAGCAGAGGAGGAGGCTCAGAGCTGGCAGCAGACAAGGCAGCAGGCGGGGTGTAAACCATGCCCACAACAGGGCCAGCGCTCAGCTGGCAACCTGGTTTCCACTTGTCTAGTTTAGAAATGAAACTGTCATTTTAGATTTCAGTCAAGTAGGAGTAGAATAAATGTTAGAGATAAAAGGGACTACCATGACCATCTCAGCAAATTTCTTATTGGTTAGTGGGGTAGACTGATGCTTAGAGAGGCTCAGAGAGGGGAAGAATTTTGTCTAAGCACACATAGGCCTAGTGTAGAAATGTCTGGTCCAGGGCTCTTTTCACTACTTCTTGTTCTCTGCCTTTATCTCATTTTCCATCTGATTTCCCTCTTACCAGCAGGGCCTTCAAACTCTGACCACCCATTCACCAACCTGCACTTGCTGACCAGCCCCTGAGAGTCTCACACTGGACCAGTTCCCAAGCTCTCCTGGGGTGGCTCCAGGACTTAACTAGGCATAGTACTTCCTAATGCACAGCTGCAGGGGGCGCCACTCACACCGTGGTCTGTCTGAGTGGAGCTCCCTGCAGTTGTGCAGCACGGTGGCTCTGGGGCCTGGACCTGTCGGGGCTTCATGGAAATGCTCAGGACACATCCCTAAGGAAGCCCCTGGGCTACTGCACTAGGGCAAATTTTACACTTGGCAGAGTCATCTTCCCACTGGAAAGCGAGTAGGCAGCTGATGAGATGGAATGTGAAAATGCCAGCACGAGCGAAGGAAACCTCTTCAGTCATGCCAGCCCGGGACAGGCAGGCCAGGAGGCAGGAATGTTGATGGGGTTGTGGGCAAGGGAATAAAGCCTGGAAATCCCAGCACGGACAGACTGACGGCCTTGACTTTTCTTTCTCTCTCCCTTTTTTTCCTTCTTGTAGAGGAGTTTTCTTGGACACCATCCTCCCCCGTCGAGATGACAATGGCGTCAGGCCAACCATTGGCCAGCGCGTGCGGCTCAGTCAGGGAGACATAGCTCAAGCCCGGAAGCTGTACAAATGCCCAGGTAACTATGAGCCGAGGGGACTGCCAGCACCTCCCTAGCATCTCCAAAGCACAGTCCCTGTGCTGGGAAAATAACCTGGGGGACCTAAAGGGACTATTCCTTGGCAGCTTTAATTATTTCTGGTGTCCTTCTGGTAGGAGGTGCTAGGCAGTATAGAAAGGCAAAATGGTGACATGGTGGCAGGCAGTGAAGAGAATAATAGGTCTTAGAGTTCATAGGCAGTTTCATGAGAGGCTTCAGACTTCTCTGGCAAAGCCTTTGTGTCCAGAAGGGGAAGAAGGCATAACAGAACAACAGTAAATAGGGGCACACTGCAGTGTGTGCCCCATAACAGTAAGAGCACCTCTCCTTTCTATGGAACTAGGGGATGTGGGTTTGGAAAAACAAGAACCAAGCAGGATTTTGCAGGAAGACAAAGAGTAAGGGAGAATGCTTTTGGGAGTATGGGGGTCAGATTCCCAAATGCTACAAGGTGGAGGGAGTCTCAGTGCTATTAACGAGCTTGTTGCTTTTGTCTTGGGGCTTTCCTGGCCATCCAAGGTGCTGGTCAGTGGCCAGGAGTCTGCCATTGAAGATGGGACAATACACGGGGATTGGAGCAAATGCCTGTTCCCCGGCCCATTTGGAAGTGTTCCTTCCCCTTGGATTTGTCCCGTTTGTCTTCCATCCCCTTGGCATCATCATCATACACACACCGTCTGAGCTCTTCTAGACCCCTTTCAGCTCTTGAGCCTCAACGTAAAGCATTGGTTATGGCAGCTGAGATTTTACCACTGATGGGTGAGAATCCATTTCAGTGGTTTTAGGAGGATAGAAGGAAGTTCCATTACCAATAGCCTTTCCCAGACTTCCAAACCAGACACAGAGTTTGATCATGAGATGAAGTATTTGAAGTGAGGACCATCTTAGAAAATCTGGGCTGTCACATTACCTTACTAAGCAGGACCCCAGGGCATGCAAAGTGCTGTGTGGGGCTTGCTTCCTCAAGAAACTCTAGAAAATATGTCCATCCAGCTATTAGTCATCTGGGGGCATGTTAGGGCTGAAATGCAGGACACACATATCATATAACCTTGCTGAATTGAACGGGAAACCTTACAGCATTCCCTGGGAAATGCCATTGTATTTATTCAGTTATAACGTTTATGCTGCTTACTTCCCAAAATGATTTGCAGCAAAATACCGTGGAGCCACACAGTAATGTATTTGTTCTTGCAGAATGTTTATGATTATTCTAAAATAATTTCCATGGAACCCTTGGGGGTGTTGACTGCCAGGCGTAATCCTCATGATGTCTGGCAGTTGTTCAGTAATGTGATATTGAAGCCCCGACATTCAGGATTTCCTGAGGCCGATAATGGGCGGTTCTCCATATCTCTTCCTGCAGCTCCAAAAAATATGGAGCTTCCGGTAGTTCCGAGTAGTAACTGAAAGCTCAGTCAGTTGCCATGCAGAGGTTGAACTGCATGTAAGGAAAAGATGCCTAAGGATGCTGGATCTCCACATATTAGGGTTGGCCACATAAGAGGAGGGGGTCTCAGAAAACCAGTGTCTTTGTCTTTGGAGTCTGAATCCCCAGGCATTAGAGAAATGCAAAACCTGTAGTTTCCAAGGATTCATACAGGTATCCTTCTTTTGTGAGGACAAATTAGGGGAAATACTTTTCACATACATAAAGACTAGGTTCTAGACTCATAACCAACCCTGAAACGTTCAAGGGCAGAATAGCCTGCTATAGAAGATTCCAGCTCCCTGTGCCTCTGCATTTTTTTGTTTTCTTGACTGCTTGATAGTTCTTTCAGAAGTGAGTAGCAGAAAAAGAAGAGGAAAGATTTAAACTAACAACTGAAATAAGTTTCAAAGCATTTTTTTCTTTTTGTCTTACCTACTTGCACTTTCTTTCTTTCTTTCTTTTTTTTTTTTTTTTTTTTTTTTTTTTTTTTTTTTTGAGACAGAGTCTCACTCTGTCACCCAGACTGGAGTGCAGTGGTGCAATCTTGGCACACTGCAATCTCTGCCTCCAAAGCTCAAGCGATTCTCCTGCCTCAACCTCCCAAGTAGCTGGGATTACTGGTGCACACCACTACCACCCAACTAATTTTTGTTTTTTCAGTAGAGATGGGATTTCACCATGTTGGTCAGGCTGGTCTCGAACTCCTGACCTCAAATAATCCACCCGCCTTGGCCTCCCAAAGTGCTGAGATTACAGGTGTGAGCCACCGCGCCTGGCCCCTACTTGCACTTTCATGTTCTCTCTGCCACCGATATTATTATTAGCAATAATAATGTCTATTATATATGAAGCACTCACTATGTTCCAAGCACTGAGCTGATCCATTTCATGTAATGCAGACGATTTCACTAACCCTCTCAGGTAGGTCCTGACCATTTTACAAATAAGAAAACTAAGGTCCAGCAAGTCTAGGAAACTTGCCCAAGCCACACAACTGGCCAGAGAGCTGAGATTCATGAGCTCTAGGCCATGCTCAGTCCTGAGAGCCTCAGAAGAAATTCCTGGGCATTCTTTTTTGGCTCCCAGATCCTACTAAAGCCAGAAAGCGTCAATCTGCTTGCTACACTCTCACCTACCTGTTCTGAGGGCTTTGGCTGGTAAAGGGGTATGTTTGCTCCACTGCCCTGTGTGGGAGCTGCTTGGGCGGGGAGAGGTGCATATGCCACATCACAGTTGTGATTTTGCTTGCACAGCGTGTGGGGAGACCCTGCAGGACACAACGGGAAACTTTTCTGCACCTGGTTTCCCAAATGGGTACCCATCTTACTCCCACTGCGTCTGGAGGATCTCCGTCACCCCAGGGGAAAAGGTAGGTGGGAAACCCCCTTGGCAAATGGGACAGCACTCCTTGAGTTGGGTGAGGTGGGAGGAATTCTTATTGTTAATAGTAAAAATAACAGCCGTTTTGTTATGAGCACCCACTGTGTGCTAGGCATGGTGCTGCTTGCTCTACGTTCATTATTTCTGGACTTCTCAACCAGTCTCACCCATACAAATGAAGGCTGGCATGTACTAAATATCCACTTAGTTGTAAATCAAGCTCACAGTTCCCCCCAACTTTAATAAATACACTATTATAATGTCCTGGAATTTAGAATTCGGTGACACCTCGGATTGCTGCTCTGGAAGATGGTGACACGGGAAACCCACAGCTGTCTTTTCTTCCCCCCAACCTCCGTCTCACTATTTGGGCTTAAAGAACATCCCTGTTGATAACCCAGTCCACTTCCCTAGGCATCTTCCACTCCTCTTTTGCAAACAGCCACTCCTTGGCTGCCCCTCCAGTGGGATGGACTGGCCCAGGAGTGTAGTCTACACTCAAGAAGATGGATCCAGGGAAGAGACCCTTGCATGTCCTGGCAGTGGGCTCAGAGCTGTGAGGACAGGGAATTCCTGGGTTCCTGGAGTGTGGTGTAGGAGCTAGGCAAGCCCTGGGTGGACACATTCCTTTGGTTTTGAAGATTCCATGACCCCCTAGAGCTGAACCCAGGGCAAGGATCTCTTTCACTCTGGTCTACGGGTGGGATGTTTTCAACCCTACTGCATGGCACATACTCTTGTATCCATTATATGGATGAGGAATTTGAGGTTTGAACATTAAGGAAAGTGCCAAAAGTCAAGGTAAGATACAGAACTAGGAACTGAGAATTGAAGTTTTGCACTCCAAAGTTTATCTTTTTGCTACATGTCTCTACAAATCTGAGTGTTCTTCAAGTTTTCTCAGACTAGATACAACTATCTTGGAGAAACTCTGTTCCCTAGGTCTAGGTTAGGGGATACCCCCCGTGTCCCCAGAGCTGTCTACAATCGTACCTGTTGTAGCATGTCTCATGGTATTGTCACTACTGGTTTATCTGTCCCACTTCCAAATCTTAAGCTTTTTAAGGTTGGAGATCATTCACCCCTAGGGCCCTGGCACTCCACACAGTCTGTGGCACAGACTGGTCACATGATAAATATTTGTTGAATGGATATGTGGATGGGTGAGGGGCTGAGTGAAAAACCTGCAGCTAGGGGTGGCAGTGGGTTGTGATGGAATTTTTCAGGCACCTGTAGCCAACCTTCAGGTATTTCTAATTCATAACTTTTTAAAATGTCCATCTAAATGTCAAGTTAAGCATAGTGTGCTAACTAGAGACAAATGGCTAGGAAGTATTGTGAACATTTTCTGTGGACTGGATACTATCCTTAGCATATCATGTGGATCATCTAATTTAGTCCTCATATCAACTTCGTGAAATAGGTGCTGTTGCCATACTTATTTACAGGTAAGGAATTGGACTTGCCCAAGACTTCTAAGTTTGTTGCAGAGTTGGGATTTGAACCCAGGCAACTGGACTCTTAAGAGCTTGAATGCTTGACCATCATCTTATATTATTACACAAAGGGGCCAGGCTAGTAGATAGACATTTGAACGTGCATTTATACACACACATGAATGCACATGTGTGCACACACATGTATACACACTTCCTTTGGCTCTAAGCATTTAAGACATTAAGTATGGCTGTCATCTTGTGTCTGAGACCCCAGACCTATCTGCCTTAGGTAGATGTGAAAACCTTGTGCTTGCTGGCGGCTAACAGGAGGGAGGCAGAAAGGGGGAAGAGGAAGAGGTCTGATAATTTCCAAATTATTGAATTGCCCTGCACAGCAGAGAGTGTGTGATATGTTTGAACTGTGTAAACTTCATCAAGCCTTAATTATTAGTGCTAACTGGGGACAGAGAATATACATCATTGAAATTTCTGCACCAATTATTTCCATTTCTGCTTCACCCAGCCTTCCCTAGAGCTGCTAGTAATTAGCAAACTTGATTGATTTGAGTATCACCTCTTGTTCCCCACCTCTTTCCCCTATGGTCTTTATGGTTCACTAACATACTTAAAGTAATTAGCCTGAATAATTATCCCATTCATTCAGATCATGAATGTGTTACCAAGGAAGTTGTACTAACATTTCCTTTCTGTAATTTTAAAAAAGCAAAGGCTAAAGAATTATTGTGCAAACCAGCCTACAGGTGTTACTAAGCTCAACCACCTGAATATGAGCATGGTGTGGGATAGGACAGAAATCTAAGGCACACCCCTGTCTTTGAGAGACTTGGTGTTTATTTTGGGTCCCCCTCCCCCAACTCCCAGGGAATCTGATTTAATGGAAGGAAGGGTGTTTGCTTGGTAAGAGTTTTTTTAAAGCTTCAAAGATGATTCTAACGTGCAAGTAGGGTTGAAAAACACTGTCTAGTTTGAAAGAGGAGTGACAGTGTTGCACACACACGCACACACATGTGCGCACACACATGCATATGTGCACATATGCATGCATGCACGCGTGCGTGCACACACACACAATGACAGAAGGTGAACTGAAATGTTTTTTCCTGGCACTGACTCTTCATTTCCTAGGAGATCACAGGGCTTTGTGGAAGATGTGATTTGTCCTGAGACGAAACATTGGGTGGGATGGGCCCAAGGGAAGGGACGGGCACTCAACACTAATCAAGAGGGGCAGCCTGCGAGGTGTGGTTAGTGTTAGCTGTGGTATGCTAAGTGTACACTCAGTGTGGCCTGTCTGGTATTTTAAGTTGCTATTTGTCGAGTGCCTATGATGTGCCAGGCATAGCAATATACACTCTACATATGGTTTCTCGCACAGTCCCCTCAATAGCACAGTGATGTGCGTGTTGTGCCACAGATGAGGAAACTAGAGAACACGTATTTCCCCAAGACTCCAGAGCTAGTAGATGGAGCTGAGAAGCAAATCCAGATCTAGGCAGATCTAAAGACACCAACTCTAGAATCATTATAAGACAGAGGGTGCGGCATTCCAAAGAGGCAAAGATCATTCATGTTCATCAGGGCAATCAGACCCAGGCTTGAGGAGGGGGACACTTGAACAGGCCTGGGGAGGGTTTCTCTGACATAGGACTATCAGGGAATACTGGGAAATAGGTTGCACAGGATAGGCTCTGGGGGCGTGGAAAGTAAGCAGAATTTCATTCATGAGATGGGGACACGGGAGCCACTGAGGTTTCCTGAGGGGTTTGATCAATATGATATATGAGTGGAAGATTGGGAGGGGTCTGGTAAACATGAGATGTGAGTGGAACATTGATCTAGAAGCCCTAGTGTGTAGAACAAATGGGGCCACAGCAGGGAGGAGTCCAGGAATCATGTGGGAGCAATCCAGGACGGGGTGAGGCAGGGGGAGCGAGATGGGGTTGGAGGGGAGGGATGCGGATATCTTAAAAGAAAAAGAGCTACAGCATGGATGCTGAACAGATATGAGGGATCAACAGTCAGGGTGAAGGAAAGATAATACCAAAGCTTGGCTCCCTGGCCATCGGGGCAATGGCGTCTCCTACAGTGGAGGAGGCTGGAAAGGAAATGCTTTGTTTGGAGGTGCTCTCACCTAGTGGGGAGCGGGAAGGGCAGAGGAGCAAGAGCAGTGGGGAGAAGATAGGCCAGTGTGGTGGAAACCAGAAAGGATAAGCTCTGGGCAGAAGGGTCATGGGACACAAGAACAAATAACAGTCCTTTAGATTTGGTGGGTAGGGAATGGGAACCTTTGAGGAAGCCTTCCAGCCTAAGAGTTTACTTAGCGCTAGAGGGCCCCTGGGGCTGTTTGAATATAAAGAAGTGGCTAGTGGAGGGGCAGTGAGTGGAGACACTGGAGAGAGAGGAACTGCTGAGAGCAAGGTCCCCCGGGGTTGGAAAACGAATAGAGTCAGGGGTGCAGGGGCTGGGGCAGGGCTGGAGATCAGGAAGAGTGGAGATGTGGTGGAGCAGAGGTATGTGGGGCATGAGGAAAGGTGAGCCTGGGCCAGACAAGCCACTGTGCCTCAGGACAGTGGGAGGAGCCACAGGCACCTGCTTTAGTGGAGCTTGCATGGGGGTGAAAGGCCAGGGGAAATCTGAACTCTGCTCTGGGCCATCTGCCAGGGAAGCCCTGAGCTGGCGGGCTGCGGGGGGACCAGAGCCAGTTCATGGGTACAGCACCTATGTGCTGAGGCCCAGTCCGTGGGGCTACCCAGCCCTCCCCTTCCCCCTACTAAGTAATCACCTGTTTGGCCATGGGAGCATCTGCTACCTGACCTCAGGGATGTCCAGACAGGGCTGCCAAGATGCTCCTCATGACAATCCCTCTCTTTTCAGTGTTTATACCATAGTGTTCCCATTGGTTTGGCCCATCTGCCTTTCCCCCCTTCCCTGGGCTCCCCAAAGGCAGAGGACCCTGTCTTACTGATCTTTCTGTCTCAATTGGCCAGCACAGGCTGGCATTCAGAAGGTGGTCAACAAACAATGGTGGAGTGAATGAATTAATGGACTAACTGTAGGAAGGTCTTTAGACACACCACACCTCAGGATAGTGAGGTCATGGCCGAGGGGAGGTTGATCACAGAGATGTTCAGATGCACTCAGGCTAACCCCAGACTCTTTGGAATGATTGATGATGTTATAAGATCTTCTTGTATCTCTGAACTTCGCTGACCCCTTACCTCCTTCCAAATCCTTAGTCTCCATGTGCCCTGGCCAGTCTTTTTAATGCATCTTGCTTTCTGTAAACCACCTAGTGACTTCAAAAGCTCAAGTGATTCCCCAGACAGAACCGAAGGACCCATCTCCTTCTGTTTACTCCCCATCCTGCTTAAGGTTTATTATTTAATGTCCTTAGGTTTCCTGTGAGCGTGATTTTGAGACAACACTCCTACTGCGGTCTGAGAGTTCTGCATGCTAAAGGGTAACGTGAGAACACCGGTATGCAAGATATATCTTCCCAAACTCCTCAGGCTTTGCTGCCAAAACTCACTTTATGGTAATTCTTTGCAGATCGTCTTAAACTTCACATCCATGGATTTATTTAAAAGCCGGCTGTGCTGGTACGATTACGTGGAGGTCCGGGATGGTTACTGGAGAAAAGCCCCCCTTTTGGGTAAGTTGACTTTAGACACCGTTAAGAGGGGAGTGATGGGATGTTCCCCGGGATGCTGTTAATGTCTGGAAGGTCCACCTTGACAGCGGTCACAGGAAACTCTCAAGGGCCTCTGTCATTGTAAAACTCGGAGCACTCCATTTGGCCACACATGTTAAAAGCCTTTAAAACTGCAAATATCCTTTGACCCAGCAATTCCACTTTTTGGAATTCATCCTAGGGAACTAATTAAGGAAGTGTGCAAAGCTGTAGCTCCAGGGATGTTCACTGAAGCAGGAAAAATTGCAAGCAATTTCAATGTTCAACAGTAGGGTTTGGCTGAATAAATTATGATCCATCTTTTCAATGGAGAACTTCCCAGCCATTAAAAGTGAAGTTGGAGTTGACTACTGATACGGAAAGGTGTTCATGGTACACCGTTACACACAAAAAAGTATGTGACAAAAATAGAATAAGCAGTAGGATTCCATTTTAATTTAAAAATACATTTACATATTAAATACATATATACACACACATATATATAATGCAAGTGTTGCAAATGTAGATGGCTTCAAGGATAACATGTAAATGAAGGAGATGGGATTTGTGTAATAAAATAAGGAGGGGTGGGGGTAGTGTGGTGAACTGAACACCAAATATCCTGTCCAAACTTATTCAAAGCAAAATGACTTAAAACATGCATACAGGCTGAATTAACTAGAAGACACCACTTTGTGATCTGCAATATAAATCTCAAGTAAAATTATAAATATACACAAATAATTTCAGGGTGATAGAGTTTTTTAAAAATGTGTTCTGTTGTTCTTGGTTTAGCTATATTTTCCAATTTTTCTATGATGAGTGTGTATTGTTTTTGTGAGATGAATACAGCATGAACTCACCCATGCAAAGTTAGCTTGGAGCTTTGAGTGAGACACAGTGGGCAGGTGGTATAACCAGAAAGGTTAGTTAGTTCACTCCAGAGAGATCTCTCGTGGATGACAGGGGAGGTTAGCCTTGCCTAGAGGACCGATGGCTCCAGTGTCTCGGGAGTAGACACTGGGACTCATTCAGTCCATGAGTGGCCGCCGTGGTGGAGCTGGAGAGAGAGGCAGAAGTGACGAGGAGCCAGATGGGAGGGTCTCAGCTGAGAGTGTATTGTCCTCACTCGTAGAGGGGTCTGCAGGGTGGGCTCTGGCTTGGACAAGTCTAAGCGCTCAGTGAGGACTTTGTCCCTGGCACATATTCACGTGAGCAGAAAGCCCAACTTGTTATGCTGCAGCTGACGAGCCTGAGAGTGAGCTGGTGTTGGGTGGTTGACCGAGATGGAGATAGGAAAGAAGGGAGAGGGCTAAGCTGGGAGGTGTCACTGCTAGACTGAGCCCTGACTTCATGCCAGATTCTAGGGAGCCCAGGCTGGGGTAGGTCAGAAGAGGCTGGACAGAGGGGTTGGCTGGACTCAGGGTAGCCTGGCAGACATTAATCTTTCATATGACTGAGGGGTCCCAGGCTGCCACCACTAGGAGAAGTCAGTCAAGTAGTCAGCTGTGCAGGTAGACAAGCCAAGAAAGTGATCCCCATGCCAAGCACGGACAGGAGTGCGTCTACTGCAGGACCAGTGGAGTCCACCCCCCAGTGGCAGGGCGGGGGCTGCAGGCCTGGATTTCTGTTTCCTGCCTACCATGAGCAGGTATGGGGCTCTCTAGCAGCCAAAAGGAGGGTCTGGCTTTACAGGTAGCACTGTTTGCTTGTGGCAAAAGACAGAGGGCTGGATTCCCAGTAGCAGAGGTTCCCAAAACTGACTGGACATGCAGAGGTTCCCAAAACTGACTGGACGTGAGAACCTCCTGGGAAGATTTCTGTGAATACGGATTCCTGGGAGACCCTGAATTGGAATCCCCACAAGTTAGGTCAGAGAATGATCCTGTTTACCTTTATATAAAAGGGCATGTGCCCAAATCTAGTACCACATATGTAGAAAGGACCACAAATATGCCCATCCATCTGGCTGAAGGTGATTACCTCTGAGGAAGGAAGTGCGGAGGTGGTGAGCAGCTTCATGAAGTTTTGTTTTGTATACTTCTCCATTGTTTGAATCTTTTGTAAGAACACATTCAGGTGTCATTCTATAATGAAATAATAAAAAGAGCTATGTGGGAGGAGTTTCCTGAGAACATCGGATCACAGACCCCGCAACCTGGCAGAGACCTTACAGTCACTGAATCCCACACTTTTATGAGAAAGCCAGGCTCCTCAAGTGTGGACTAACTCAAAGGCCACACAGCTAGTGGCTGAGATCAGACCCGAATTCTGATGTCCTGGTGAAGGGGAGAGGTGACTGCTGAACCCAAGGGTGCCAGATAAAATACATTATTTGTTGTTTATCTGAAATTCAAATGTACTGGGCTTCCTTGCGTTTCGTTTGCTAAATCTGGCAACTCTCTACCCCCATCTCCCTGGAATGGGATAGATTTAAAGGCTTAAGGGGAGGAAGCTCTCTGTTACTGAAGTTTCCCAGAGAGGGCCAAGGCACGTTCCTGAGAATGGGCACAGGCAGAGAGATTTCCAGGAGTTCCTTTTTCTTGAACTTGAAACAAGAATTTTCTCATTATAGATCCTGGTATCTCTGGCTACATTTCATTAATGAAATGGGGCTTTTGCCGTTTGTTGGTGGTGGTGATTTTTTTTGTTGTTGTTTTGTTTTTTAAGTTTTTTTTTTTTTTTTTGGCTCATGTTTTACCCACTTTTTGTGTGTGTGTGTGTGTGTGTGTGTGTGTGTGTGTGTAGAGTGCCAGCGCCTGTAACCGTCATTCTTCATTTGCAGTTCTCCTTTGCCAACTATTTGGCCTGCTCTGATGTTTCCAAATGCAGTTGTTAGTGAACTTTTGTGTTTGGAACAAGTGCATTGTGTCGGCCGAGCTGGTCCCTGGGAGGGGTCAGTGCCATGAAATCTGCTGGGAGGAGGCAGGTCAATGCCCCTTTGGCAGGAGGGAGAGCGGATTAGGGTGGATTGTGAAAGTATGGATCTTGCTCTGAAAACTGTGCATTGCATTTTTTCCCAGGGCAGTGTGTGAAAATCCAGGCATAATGGACGCATAACTTTTTATGAATGAACCCTTTATGACTCCCCATGGAGCCCACTTGTAGTATCCTCATCTGCATTTCCTCTTCTTGATATCCTTATTAAACTCCTCTTCTAAATCCAGGAACCGGATTTCAGTGCAGGAATCTGATACCTTTTCTCTAGTCCCGTTTCTCTCCAGCCTGCTTAGTCTCCTTGGAAGGAGGCTATTTTTTGAGACCCAGGTTTTCACATAGTGATTAAGGGAAAAGTCGACTGAGAACATTTCATGGCTGGCTAAAGATATCAAATTGGTTTATCAGTTTTGGGGGTCACTTACGATTCTGCACCTAAAGCGGGGAGGAAGTTGGCTGCAGTGAGAATTCATCCAGTGATCTTAAATTCTGTCCGGTAAATTGGATTCCCTCCCTTATTTCTGTTAGAGGAATTACTCTAACAATGCACTTTTGTATGCAGAACTGTCTTTGGGCATTCTGTATCACCACAATGCACACAAAAGCCCTTTTTCCCTCTTTCCCTGAAATGGGGAGAGGGAAGTTCAGAAAGGCCAGGCTGGCCAATCAGTGTCGTGTGGCCCGGGCTACTCAGGCTCCCTAGCCAGGGGCAGCCTCCCAAATGAGCAGAAATGATGGAGTGAGTCAAACAGCCAAGCCTGGCATTTCCACAGAATTACTTTACAGTTTGAGGTTTTGATCTTCATTCCTACTTGTCTGTTTCCAAACTGGGAAATGGGGATGACATCTATATTACTAGAGAGTAGATTTTATGTCTATTTATCCAAAATTATACAATGTTCAGAATGGTACCTCAGTCAGTGAAGGTTTTCTTTTTGATGGTAGTGGTGGTGATGATGAAGCAGGTGATACCGATAATGAAGGTCTCAGACTGCTCCGGTTTAAATCCTGCTCTTACTTACAGCTTTGAGACTTAACTTCTCTGACCCTCAGTTTTCTTGCCTGTGAAATGGGATTAATAATAGTGTCTAATTCAGAGAGTATCGGGATGAAATGAGATAATCCATGGAAAGTGCTTAGGACAGTGTCTGGCACAGACAGAGTCAATAAAAAAGGGACTTTTATTAGAACCACTACAGTGAAGATGAGAACATTGAGATATCAGTTAAGGGACAAAGTAGAGGATTCTAGTTAAGAGTTACAACGTGATTTGGGGAGAGTGCTTAGGAATAATTCGTGATTTGTTCTACCAAGTCTAGTTTTGCCAAGGCAGTAAAATATACCTTAAGCTGCAATTCCTGCCTCCTGTTGAGTACTCAGCAGAGAGAAGCTGTCTACTGGCCCTTGGGTGGTGGGTGGTTCATCTCATCTTCCTAGGTCTTTAGGAGGCGAGGCAGTGAAAGTCCCCCTCTCTTTTGGAAATATGCCTCAGTGGCTGTGACAGCTGGGTTTTAAAAGGAGAAACTTGGATCTGAAACTTGGGCTAGGCTAAGAAGGAATTCCTTTTGTGAACCAGCACTGTCTAATTGCTCCGTGCCCTCACTGGTAAGCAGTACTTCCCCAGGCTTGCCTGTCATTTTCCAAAAATCACTTAACACTAATTGGCCATGCCAGAGAAACCATTACTGAAAATTTAGAGGCTTCTGGTGGATTTTTTTCTTGCCAAATTATTGGCAGGAGTTTCATCTCATCTCACTTAATATTAATCTCCCCAAATCCAAAAGGCTACAGGTGGTCAGAATTGGAAGGAAGCAGAGGAGATTAGCAGCCTTTACCCCCATGTTTCCCCAAAACATGTACAACACAGCTGGCCATTAGGAGATGCCCACAGTGGCCTTTACTCCTCCCCTAACCTCACCTGCTCATGGCCTCAAGTGGCTTGTCCACTGCCTAACATAGCACTGGCAGTAAGAGTACCCATGACATATCTGCTTTAAAAATATTCAGATAAAATTTCTGGACCATACAATTCACCATTTAAAGTATACCAGTCAATGGTTTTTAGCATGCTCAGAGTTGTGTCATCACCACAATCAATTTTAGAATATTTTCATCACAACAGGGTGCGGTGGCTCATGCCTGTAATCCCAGCACTTTGGGAAGCTGAGGCGGGCCGATCATGAGGTCAGGAGATTGAGACCATCCTGGCTAACATACTGAAACCCCTAAAAATACAAAAAATTAGCTGGGCATGGTGGCACGTGCCTATAGTCCCAACTACTTAGGAGGGTGAAGCAGGAGAATCCCTTGAACCTGGGAGGCAGAGGTTGCAGTGAGCTGAGATCACGCCCTTGCACTCCAGCCTGGGTGACAGAGCGAGACTCTGTCTCAAAAAAAAAAAAAAAATTTTTTTTCATTACTCCCAAAGAAGACCCATACTCATTAGCAGCCACTCCCCATTCCCCATTGCCCCCCACAGCTAAATACGTTCTCTGAGTGACTCATGCAGTAGGTGCTTGGTAGAACCATGATCTTCCAGTCCAAATGGACTGTGTTCTGAACCAATCAGTAAAGATGAACCCATCTCCCGCCTCACCCTGGGCTGCCATCCCGACGTGGCAGTAGCGATTAGATGGCCAAGAATGACCAGATACTGGGAAGACCAGGCTTCTGTGGAGGCTCCAGATTTCAGACCATGCACTCAAGTATCTAAGAAATACAAATGTGTTAATTTTTTTTCCCAATAACAAAAGTTTGTCTATGATGAACCCCCTTTCCATCAGGTAGTAGGGACTTGATTTTGGTCAATTTGTGTTTTCAGCTTTGGTCAATTTGTATGTCCTGGTGGGGGGGGCATAGTTTATGCCAAGGCATGGTGGTGGTGGGGGAGCATCTATCCTGCCACCCTGATTGGCATTGCTGGGATGTCCTCATCCCCAACCAATGAGTCCTCTGTCCAGATAGAGGCTACTGGGCTCCTCCTTGTATCAACCCTAGGCCAGTTCAGAATAGTGCAGGCTTACATTCCCCTAGAAGCTTGGGAGACATTCTGTGGCTCCCCTAATCCTCTTGGCAATAGGAAAGTCACTTCCATCACCCTTTCGGGCTGGAATCATGTTGCTGCCATCCTGTCACACTTTACTGGAAGAGCTCTGCATGCCTATCTCGTGGCCGAGTGTCTGGACAATCACATAGACACTTCTCTGCTGACCTTGGGCAGTAGGCACAGCAGGGGAGTCCAGGGTCTTGCTGCCACTCTGGATTCTGCCCAGGGACTGAGGAGACAGTTTTCTGTTTCTCTTAGATCCTTAAACCTACCTGGGATCTCTTTCTCAAGGTGAGATGGGGAATGGGTCCTTTTAGGGGCTCCCTGGTGCTGTCCCGCTAGTCCTCTCACTCCTCAATCCTAGGAACCCTCCTACGGCTACCAGGATGGGGGAAAATATGGTGCATCCTTCCAGATCTTTGCTATTGCAACTAGGCTTGTGAAATGTAAATGCCAAGATGGTTTTTCTTTGCTGTGTATTCCCTGGCATCCCTTCCCAAGGCAAGGAAAGCAGAATGTCTAATGCCCCCAAAAGGGAAGGGCATACATGCAACAGGAAATACCAGGAAAGGAAATCTGCGCTACTATCTCACCATTCTTCCCCTGCCACACCTTCAGAGCCTCAGCCTTCAACACCCACTTGGCAGGGGAGAGGCTGCCTTGGCTCTTTTCTGGATACCTTGATGGGAATCTGGAATTCCCCTGAAGTCATCCTGAATAAGAATTAAGTCACACATTGTTGTGTGACTCTTCCAATCCCATCTTTTGATCCTGTGTGTGCTACAGGACAAGTTGTCCCAGCCAGGGTTATTGCTCACTTCAAACCATGTGTGAAGAACCTCGGCTTCCTCCTAGCCTGAAGCCAGTGCCTTCTTACTGTCCCCAGGTCTCCTAACTGCTTCTTTTTCCACTTTCCAGGCAGGTTTTGCGGCGATAAGGTCCCAGAGCCCTTGGTCTCCACAGACAGCCGGCTCTGGGTGGAGTTTCGCAGCAGCAGCAACATCTTGGGCAAAGGTTTCTTTGCAGTGTACGAAGGTTTGTGCGTGGTGAAAGCAGCCGCTTGGTGGACACTCATAAGCTCTGTTCTTCCCAGGCAGCCCACTGTCCCTCTCCCCGCCCAGGCACTCCAAGCCAGAGCCACGGGGGTGGGGGCAGCCACCGCAGCGGGCAAGCTGAGGATTCCACAGCCCCTCTGGCAACATTCTGGAAGCAGAGGCCAGCTGTGCCCACTTCAGAAGTGGTGAAATCCTCCTGACGCCATCCCGCTCAATCCTCATTCCAGGCCAGCTGAGGAATCGGCTTCCCCCATCCAGGATGGTATTGGGGGGATCTAGAACCCTGTGGAAATGATAGCAGCCTCTGAATTGCTGTGTGAGCCTAAGCAAAGAATCTGATCTCGCTGGGCCTCTGTTTGTTTCCTTTGTGAAAGGAAGGCTTTGGGCAACATCAAGGAATTTCCAACTGCGTTTCTTAGAAGGGCCTCTGAGGCCACCCTGGTGACTGAGTAGAGGGAATCAATAGGTCTGGGCTCTAGGCAGCTGCCACCAGGCGATGCTGCTTCTATTTCTTCTATGTCTTGAGCTTCTCTGGCTCACTCCCCACCCCATCGTACCCTCTGCCAAAAAAAAAAAAAAAAAAAAAAGGGGGGGGAAACTACGAGAAAATTACCAAGGGTCCTTTGGCCTTAAATTATTACAATTTTAGAGAGGCCAAAGTTTTGTCTTTGTGAAATAAGTAATGTGCATGTATACGCATGTGTGCACGTGTGTGCACGTGTGTGCGCACGGGTCCCTTCCTACCAGCGATCCTGTACCCTCTACCTTGAATCACCTGGAGAACTTTGCGGCTCCGCAGGGCTCTCCCACACCCACTGGAATCAGAACCTCTGGTGGGTGTGGCCCCAGCTTCCACAGTTTGCAAACTCCCCCGGGCGATTTTGATGCACAGCGAAGGTAGAGAACCACTGCTTTACGTGGTTTTTTCTTTATATGAAAAAAAAAAAATCAGAGTTAAAGACAAATGCAATCGTGCCTTTCTGGAGGCACCGTTTGTGGGGTGGAGATGAAAATGTTGGCGAGTGGAGCCACCTAGTGGTGGCAAGCGGCCCCCGCCACCTTCCTTCCTAAGATCTGACTGACCAGGGCCCCCCATCTTCCTCTCCTGCTGTCTCTTTCTAAAGCTACCTGCGGGGGAGACATTAACAAAGATGCCGGTCAGATTCAATCTCCCAACTATCCGGATGACTACAGACCTTCCAAGGAATGTGTCTGGAGGATTACGGTTTCGGAGGGGTTCCACGTGGGACTTACCTTCCAAGCTTTTGAGGTGAGTGCTGCTCAGACCGGCTTCCCAAGGAAACGCAACTTTTGCTAGACACTCTGCACTCTGTAAAGATGGGTGTTCATTTTTGGCTAAAAACGGGAACCTAAGAGGCCATTCTCAAGCCCATGGTGAATTGTGCCCGGACATCTGACATCAATATCTATGCAGGCTTTTGAAATGGGGTTCGCCACCTTTCTGAGGGCAGTAAGAGAGATTGAGAATAATAATCAAAGTGAAAATTCAGGATGGGATCCAGGGAAGTTTGGTAGAATTGTTCTTCTCTGTTTATCCTCTTAGACTTTTCTCAGCTTGATTCACCCTTGACTTCTGCAAGTAAGGCACGAACTAGGAAGCAGCATGGAGAGACCTGGGACACACTTGGGTCCTTCGGCCTCTTGGTTAGATTTTGAGAGTGATATTTGGGTTCTCTTCTTAAATCAAAAACCTTAAAGCGGAACCATCTGCCATCCACCTTGTCTCTGTTTCTTCCTTTAGATTGAAAGGCACGACAGCTGTGCATATGACTACCTGGAAATCCGGGATGGCCCCACGGAAGAGAGTGCCTTGATCGGCCACTTTTGTGGCTATGAAAAGCCGGAGGATGTGAAATCGAGCTCCAACAGACTGTGGATGAAGTTTGTGTCCGATGGCTCTATCAATAAAGCGGGCTTTGCGGCCAATTTTTTCAAGGGTATGAATTAGCAGTTTGTTCCCACTTTTAGGCACAAGAAGAAACATTGCTCCCTCTGGCTTAAGACACACAAAACCATATGGAAGCTTACCACCAAACAAGGCTCCCTGCAGAGAAAAGGCAGCGACACATTTCAGAGCTGGGTGTGGGCCCCCAGCAGAGTTCCCAACTGATCAGGAGCAGGCTCAGCCTTGGCTTCCACACGATAGAAAGTTCTATACTTGGAAATTAGGTCTAATAAGTTTACAAGGGCAAACTACACGGCAGTGAAACTGAGTATGGAATAACAGCAAATATTTAGATAGCAGCTATCATTAACTGATCACCTACTGTGTACCAAGAACTGTGTAAGGTACTTAACTTACATAATGTCATTTAATTTCCCAAATAACCCTGTGAGTTAGGTTTGGATCCGGGCTGGGAAGGGCTTCTCAGGATCATGCAGGTAGTTAAGTGGCAGATCAGGGATCTAATTCAGTTGGCCTAATTCCTAAGTTCAAACTCTTTCTACAACATTGCCACTGTTCCTTGATGTGGGCCAGAGAGGCAACCCAGGTGTTCAGCTCCTGGAGCATCAGTGCCCCCAGACTACATGCTTACCCCCACATGATGGGGGTCGGGAGGAGAATAAGGGGTGGCACTCTGGGAACAAATTTCCATGTTGCCCTGGGGACCTGCTGCTCTGTAGGGTCCTGATGGAAACAGGCCCAGAATGGCATGAGCAGACCCAGCTTTCCTGGCCCCGGAAGAGCCAGCTTCCAAGCCTCCTTTGAATGGGCAGGTCCTCATTCTCTGTCATCAGGCCCCTGAAAGCCCTGAAGACCACACCCTAAGAGGGAAGCATGGCTGCTCCCCGCTGCATTGGGCCTGGGCGCCTAGGAGCACAGCAGCAGCCCTTGTGTAGAGACATTCGGTCCTCTGCTGCTGTTACCCCTTAAGCAGTGACCCCACTTCCCCAGCCCCCCCACCACTTGTGCTTGCCCAGAGGCTGCTTTCTCCTCTTCCCCCTTCTCCTAGGACTCCTGGCTGAGCCAGCACAGAAATCCCAGTCCCTCCCTTGCTCCCCTTCTCCCTTTCTGCCCCATCTTAGACCTTCTCCCAGGTTCTATGTGAACAGCCTGGGTGTCAGAAGAACCCACCTCTGCAGTGTCACCCAGAGCAGGCAGCCATTCGTCCTTACTGAAGCCTCAGTTTTCCTCTCTGTGAAATAGAAAGGACATCTGACCATTGTACCTAAGCAATTATTGTGAAGCCCCAAAGAAAGGATGGCTGTGGAGGCACTTTAAAAGCTGGCAAGTGACAAACAAGGGGTGGGGCTGTCATTTTTTCCTATTTTGAAGCATTGGGGAAGAGCAAAACCCAAACAGTAGCACAGGAAGAATCATGTTGGCGCTGAAGGATTGGAGACAAAACTTGAGTCGCTTCTTTCTCAAGCCAAAACAAACAAAAAAAAAGCCAGACCATGGCAAGTGTATTTTGAAAGCAGGTCAGCTTGTGATTGCACAGGGAAGATATGACAGCCTTGGTTGAGATGCCTGGAAATTCACAGCCCCCACCCTTCCCTGGCCCAGCCTGCACATACCTGGTGTCTCCCAGCCTGGGGCGGCCTCTGTCTGACTTGGCAGCAGTGACACCGGCTGGGTGGCCTCAAGCAAGTTGCATGATGTCTCCAGTTGCGTAGCTTCTGTTGCACAAGCTCCAGTCTCTCTACCTGGAGAGACAATGCTGCCAGATGATTGCAAGGTTGTCATCAGAAGAAAATGGAATAGTGCAAGTGAATACACCCAGTGTAATATTGAGTCCCATTAATTGTCTTTGCTAAGGAAGGAATCTTTGAGGTGGTTATTCTCTCTGAAAAACCCGATGCGACAATTTCTTCTTGCTATTGTGGTGGACTGGTTTCCTATTCCAGCTGCAGCAATTTACCACAGGCTTGGTGGCTTGAAACAACGCACACTTATTATCCTACAGTTGTGGAGGTCAGAAGTCTAACATGGTTCTCACTGGGATAAAATCAAGGGGATGACAGGGCTGCATTCCTTCTTGAGGCTCTAAGGGAGAATCTGTTTCCTTGCCTTTTCCAGCTTCTAGGAGCTGCCTGAATTCCTTGGCTCATGGTCCTCTTCCACAGTCAAAGCCAGACAGAAATGGCCAGTGTGTCATTCTCATGCCACATTCTCCTGCTGCATCTCAGATCTCTGCTCCTGTCCGCACATCTCCTCCTTCTGACCCTATCTTCCTTCCACCTCTTTCCCTTACACGGACCTGGTGTGGACATTGGGCCCACCCAGATACTCCAGGAGAATCTCCTCGTCTCCAAGATCCTTCATTTAACCACACTGGCAGAGTCCTTCTTTCACCTAATTAAGATCCTTAATTTAACCACACTTGCAGAATCTTACATTAAGGTAACAGATTCACAGGTTGCAGAGGCCAAGCTGTAGACAGCTTTGGAAGACCTTATTCTGCCTACCACATGTCATGAATGATTATGAGATTGTCATTCTAATTCTGTTTATTCTAGTCCTCTTGGCCTTCTCTTCCCCTGACTTCCACCCCAGGTTCTGTAAGCTGAGTGCTGGAACTCCATTCCAGGGGGATAACTGGTAACCACTGACCATCCACACCTCATTGCTGATGCTGCTGGTGGTCAGCAATGCACAGTTTTGAAAGTACCAGCTAAAGCTGGAGATTAGGCTTGTCAGGTTTAGGAAATTAAAAAAAAAAAAAAAAAAAGCAGGATGCCCAGTTACATTTGAATTTTAGATAAAGAATGATTTTTTTTTTTCAGTATATGTCCCAAAGATCACATACTGTGCTGAGAACTGATTGATGGTTTATCTGAAAGTCAAATTTAACTGGACCTCCTGAATTTTTTATGGAAAACTTGCTGGAGATGCCAGTCAGGGCAATGAAAGGTATTTCTCTGATGCTAAACTGGTTTGTAAGAGACGGAGGAAGTGCCTGGACTTGCTCAAGTAACCATGATAGCTGGCACCATCTGCTGGTTAGAAGATGCCACCTTCTCCCTCCTCCCCATCTAGTGTGCATTCAACATTCATCAGTTAATGTGTTGGTGCTGGGGCTGGAGACTCCGAGGAAAGCACACAGTGGTTGTCCTCAAGTGCTCAAGGTGGTGAAGGAGATCAGCAGCAAATGCGCGATGACGTTGCCGTGTGGGTGTGGACCTCGGTGGAGGCTGTGAAACTCAGTCTGCCACGGGGCCCAGGTTACCCAGTGTCCTACTTGGAGGGCATTTCAGTTTGCAAACATCTTTTCAGATGCCTGTCAAAGTGTGGATTGAGGCCCACCCAAAGTAACTTAGTGCACAGACTCAGCTTGACTTTTTTTATGGTAAAGACAACTGCAGAGAACAACATTTAGAAAAGAAGAAATATACACCATTGACCTTGACCATGAATCTTAAAGTAGGAATCAGGATTAACGGAAACCTCATCTAGACCTATTAAATCGGGGAAAGGACATCTAGGTTATCTCACTTTTCTTCATTACAGTCCCCTGGTAGGAATTATTACTGCCCCCATTTTCCAGTTGAGGAAGCTGAATTCCTAACATGGCTGGACTGGAACTGGAATCTAGATCTGTAGGATTCCACAGTCCACTCTCTTTCCAATAAGGAGACCTGAAAGCCACAGGGAAGGAATGTGAAGGGGGTGGAATTTTTCCTTAGTGTTTGTGATTAGATTCTGACACTGATCACCTTTCCACCTTCCCACCTTCCCAATACCACAGGGGTGTAGGCAAAAGGGCTCTGGACGTGGCAAGTGGAGTTTGGAGCGCTGGTCCCTTGTTGCCTACTAGCTAGCCACTCTTTTGCAGATCAGCTTTCGTTTCTGCGACCGGCTCATGCCTGCTTTGCTCCTCACTGTGGTCCCAGTGCTTGGCACACAGTAGGCTCAGTAAATACCTAGTGAGCGATGAAAGAATGGATAGATCAATGAATGAATGGGCTCCGTTGCCCTGTTGGTGGAGTGGGCATCCTGCTGCCTGCTCTGCCTCCTTTGCAAGGCTCTCCGGAAGAAGAGTGGGTGAGAGACCACAGCTTTGTGCAACACTGTCCAACAGAAATGGGATGTGAGGCACAACCAGGAGCCACATAGGTGGCCTTGAATTTGCTGGCAGCTGCCTTACAAGAAAGTAGAAACCAGTGACATTAATTTCAATGATATTTTTATTTACTCTAAGGTACAAAATAATATCATTTAAATATGTAATCAATATACGCAATATTAATGAGAGATCTTATGTTTTTCATACTAAGTCTTGGAAATCCAGCATGTGTTTTATGCTCATGGCACATCTCCACTTGGACCAGCTGCATTTCAGGTGCTCAGTAGCCATGTGTGGCTGGGGGCTGCCGTATCAGACAGCAAAGGTCAGGAGACTGTACCCAGCCAGCTTCCCCAGCCCAGCCTTTTCCCAGCAAGTCCATCAGTCAGATGTCCTGTGAACACAAAGTTCCTAGCACGTGTGTCAGAACTTCTCCAGTGAAAGAAGCTTGGAGAGGAGCTCAAAGGCCCAGCAGAAGAGCTGAAGCAAGCCAAAGAAGCTCTTGCCTTGGTGCCAGTTGGCAGGCGTTCTGCCCAGGGCCCAGCTGGCGCCTGACGCTGGCCAGGGTGCCAGTTGGCCTCTGTACCCCTTTCTGGTGCCAGATGGTAGTCCCTCTCAGAGCCTACTGGCCGGCAGCAAGCAGAGCACCTTACAATTCTGGTTTTTTTGGGAGAAGGCAGCAGCGCTCAAGGGATGGCAGGGCCATTTTAGTCCTATGCCCCCACATAAAGAATTAAAGGATTCCCACCTTGATCCCTCCATCCCCTATCCCAGTGCTGATAGGTCACCATGAAGAGCTTGGTAAGGGGACTGGCTTCCTTCAAGGGATTTCTTTAAAAGCCTAAGAATGTGCTCTGCCTTCCCTTTCCTTAAGTTTCCCTGAAACAATTTTTGGGATCCTGCCTGAGCCATCTCATCATCTAACTACTTCCTTCTTTCACTAATTCCACCTGGACCATGAGAAGACTCCAGAGCTCCTGCTATGCTAAGCTGAGCCCTGCTTCCAGTCTCTTCTACTCCCACACTCACCCAGATTTTTCTGGGGGGCTTGGCCTTGGCCTTCACCTCTGCAGCCCAGAGCAAGCACGAGCCTGTGGGCTTGGAGCAAGTGCTGCTTTACCACAGTGGGAGGCCCCATGCACCTCTGTGCCATCCAGCCAGGCTGAAGCAGGGCTGCAACTGGCCAAACATCTCATGCCTCTTGCTAGAGAGAGCTCAGGTATAAAAGCATGCCTTTCATCTACCTCCCAAGGCCAAGCACCTTACCTTCTAGTCTCCGGAGGGAATTACATTTTCTTTGCTTTTGGCCCAAGTCCATCCACTGGGCTCTCTCCTTTCACCTGGCTAAGATGGCGCCAAGACACTTGCTCCTCTGTGCGCCTCTTTCTTGCCTATGTGTCCTGCCCACAACCACAGCGTCTTCTGATATCAGAGTCTCCTTCTGCCCCTATCCTTGGTCCTTTTTCTATCTGTCTCTCCCAATGGGCTCTTTCCTCAGTTTCCTTCTGCCCCCGGCCTTGGTCCTTTGTCCGTCTGTCTCTCCCAATGGGCTCTTTCCTCGGTTTCCTTTTGCCTCCTCACTAGGTCCCCCAGCCAGTGTCTTGAGTTCTGCTGTGCTGCCCTCCTGCCTATCCATCTTCCTCCACTGGCCCATCCTTGAAGCATTTTCCTTCTTTCTGTTCTTGCCTTGTCTCCCTTCCCTCCTCAGGCCTGCACTGCTCCATTCCCACCTGGTCCAGGTATGCCCAGGTAACCTTATCTTTTCACTGCCGCTTCACTGTATCTCTCTACTCACTGGAAATTTGAAAGCAACTCTGCTGCTGTCTATCAGGATGGCTTCTGTGTGTCAATGGTCTGTATGCTGGGTACTTCATATGCATCATTTTCAGTCGTCACAACCCTAAAAGTAAATATTATCATTCTCACTTTAAAGCAGGAGGGAGCCTCAGTGAGGCTAAATCACAAGCAGTCATCCCATTTATTGGAGGAAGATCTGCTGGAGGATCCACCCCAGGTCTGACTCACTTTAAAGCCTGGACTCTTTCCGCTACTTTTTGTCAACTATTTTCCTCTTTCCCTATACTTTTTAGCAAATGTCTACGAAAGTCCTTTCAATATGGTAAGGTGATTAAAAAAAAAAAAAAGGTAACTGCACACTTGTTACTATTTTAGCATACTTAAGACTTACATTTATTTGAGGCGATGGGCAACTTCAACTCCCTGCCTGGATTGTCTCTCTAAACCCAATCTCCCCTAACAAGCAATTAATTTATATAAGCTTTTATTGAGCCCAAGAATACATCACCATTAGAGTTACCTAAGTTCACTGTCCACTATGTGAAATGATGGGATATTTACAAACACTCCTTTACTCAGTGAAGTGCAGCCAGGTTGATGAAGAGTCTATGCATCACAGACAAGGAAGATTGGAAGGAAAGGGGTATATTTGAGTTGGAAAAGGGCAGGGGAGAGGGAAGCTGGGTGATTGGAGGGTTTGTGTTTTCTGAGGACCCGTGGATTGGAAGTTGTAAGGAGTGAGACTTTTAACCCAATAAATGTCTTTGAAAAGTGGTGAGAGTCCTGTCGCTGGGAGTTTTCAAGCAGGGTCTGAAGAGCCATCTCTCCAGAACATTATTGAAAGGATTCCTGCCTGAGACGGCAAGACTGGGTATCTTTCCAGGTCTTTACCAACTCATAGATGCTCTTAATTTCTTTTAGTTTATATATAATGAGTTATTTCAAGATTTGGTGAACAACTTTTTTTGTTGTTGTTGAGACAGGGTCTTGTTCCGTCGCCCAGGCTGGAGTGCAATGGCGTAATCTCAACTCACTGCAACTTCCGCCTCCCGGGTTCAAGCTATTCTCCTGCCTCAACTTCCTGAGTAACTGGGGTTACAGGCATGCGCCACCACACCCTGCTAATTTTGTATTTTTAGTAGAGACAAGGTTTCACCATATTAGCCAGGCTGGTCTCGAACTTGTGACCTTGTGATCCACGCACTTCAGCCTCCCAAAGTACTGTGATTACAGGCGTGAGCCACCGTATCTGGCCAACAACTTTATACTTACTGTGTTCCTACCTCCCGTGGTGCTGTGGACCAGAACTCTCCTTCCTGCTTCTCCCCACATCCTTTCTTCTTCCTAGGTTCAACGTTTTTGAAAAAGATGTCTCAGTGTTTAGTCGTCCCTTCACTAGACTCCTCTCTAGCTCTGCTAGGCCACATCCCACATGCTGTCTTTCAGGGCTAGATGTACTATGGCTGGCAACAGAGAATCATATTTTTCCTTTTATTTCTAATATTTGTTTTGGTTTTTCTTTTCTTCAGTGGCACATGGGTTAATGTGTCTGGGGAGTGTCTCTAATGACTTCCAGGTTCTCCCTCTGAACAGCAACGATGGCATGCTATGTGCTGTTACTTAGTCGCCCCAAACGCATCACTAGGCACTTGGTGCCAAATCCCATCCAAAGCACCTGCTAACTCAGCCTCATTATGGCCTCTTCCTGCAGGTTTTCCTGGCAGCATTGGCTAACCTAAGAGCCCGTGTTTTCTGTAACCTTGAATATCTCCCTGTGCATACCTCTCTTACGAGTATTTCTAAAACTGCTAAATAACACATTCTGTCTCTAATGTCTACAGAATACTGACACATCTTCATCTAGCAACGTGTTCTTTGTCTTCACCCTTTATTTAATATCTCTAAGAAGTTGCATATTTATGGGGGAAGGGGAAGTCCTCAATTCTATGGCTTTAAAATGGATGAAGTCTTTGGTATGGAACGTTGTGAGATTTTTTGAAGTCTCAAATGACCGATGACTGAACACCTCAAAGAATTCACTTCTCCAGGCCTGACCTCCTCTTGGCAGAGCCCACCCCGGCTAACAAGGTTCCTGCTTGTGTTGTCAGTGTCCTGCCTTCACTGTCCCTGCTGCCTGGTTTTCAGAGGTGGACATAGCACTCTTTGGGAGGTGGTCACCACGAGTGGCTCCTGTTTCTTAGAGGACACTTGCGGGTGAAACTGGGATGCGGAAGGGTTGGGAACAGCCAGGAGGCTTCATGACGATGTAACTGGAGTCATCTTCCTTCCCACCAGAGGTGGATGAGTGTTCCTGGCCAGATCACGGAGGGTGCGAGCATCGCTGCATGAACACGCTGGGCAGCTACAAGTGTGCCTGTGACCCTGGCTACGAGCTGGCCGCTGATAAGAAGATGTGTGAAGGTTGGTGTGGGACCTGCCAAGCTGGAATGAGAGGGGATATGGGACAAGTCTTTGGGGAACTGGGGCAGAGATGGGGCAACCGGCTGGCTGTGTAGAACAATGGGCAATGGGCAGACATGGTGGAAGACCCACCTATTTCCCAGAAGGAGAAACAGCCTGACAGCTGTCACAAATGTCAGAAAACTGCCCAAATTACATATACTCTGCCCTAGAGACTGAAATCGAGACCATGGTTTATTTTCTTCTATGATTGTGTGAAATTGACATGATTATTAAAGTAGGAAACAAAAGCAAAGAAAAACCGTGAGCACTCCAGTGACTCAACCAATAGCACTTTTCATCCATCCTATTTCTACTTGGCTTGTGTTCCATCTTCCTTGTCCACGTGCATGAGTCTGCTTGTTCATGCAAGCTTGGTATGGTGAGTAGCTTGCTGCAAACATTTCTGATTCTCCTTTGGCCCAAGCCATAGGGAGACCCCAGCTCTGTCACTGGGTGAAAGGAAAGCACAAATGCATTCATTGTTTTTAAAAGCAGTAAAGATTTATCCCAAATTTTTTTTCTTTCAAATATTCAGTTGAAACCATAGTTTTGAACAAAGGACACTGAATTAATCAGTTCAAATTGTCTAACATTTAAAAATTATTATTACAGAACAGCAGGGCTCTGTTGCTCCTGGTGGGAAATCACAGTCACTTGGAGCCAAAGCTAAATGAAATCCTGTTTCTGTTTCCCCCGTGCAGTGGCCTGTGGCGGTTTCATTACCAAGCTGAATGGAACCATCACCAGCCCTGGGTGGCCGAAGGAGTATCCCACAAACAAAAACTGTGTCTGGCAGGTGGTGGCCCCCGCTCAGTACCGGATCTCCCTTCAGTTTGAAGTGTTTGAACTGGAAGGCAATGACGTATGTCTCTGTGCTCTGATTGATTGGGGAGTGTATTGAGGGGTGACTTGGAGCTGGAAACCAGTGAGGGGCTGGGAGGGCAGGGAGATGGCTTGTGTTGGAACTGGAGCTTTGGACAGTCATAGGGCCTGCACTAGCAGAATCTGGGGGAAGGTTTTCTCCAGCAGTTTCAGCCGCACGCCCTCTGCAGATAGAGCACCTCTGGCCCTCTTGTCGCTGATACATCCAAGGAGAGTCAGAACAAGAGTGGAGGAGGCAGGTATTGGGGGTGGGAGGTGTCAGAACTGGGCTGTGAATCTGGGGAGCTGGTGTGCAGCTGAGGCAAATAAAGGGGGTGAGGATCAGCTAGGGACAAGGACGCTACAGACAGCCTGTTTCCTCTTTCAGCCAATGATCATGGATGATCAAGTCAGTTGAGGTCCAGGCAGTGCCCTACAGCTGGAGTGCTAGTCACGCATGCTTACATCTGCACTTTAGGCTGGAGGGACACCCTGGGGCACACAAGTCATTCCTGAGACTCCCCTCCCCACCCCAGCTGAGCTGGGGGTCTCACCTCGAGAATAGTACTGGTGTAGCTCTCACCTGAGAGTCAGGCCTTTGGGGTACTGGAAGGAGACCTCAATGCTGATGACCCCAATGCACGGAGGCCATGGTGCCCATGAGGGTGTCACCCCAAAGTGAATATTGTGCAGAAAAAAATAATCCTTGAAAGCAATTGATAAGACCCCTTAGCAGTGAAGTTCTTTTTGAGAAAAATCATTGCCATAGCAGGGAACATGAATTCTAGTCCCAGCTCCACCACGGCTGAGCTATGTGGCTTCAGACAAATGTCTTTCCCCTCTGAGCTTGTTTCCCTGCCTGAAAAGGGAGTCAGATTCTGTCGGTGGTTTGCAGCTTTTTCCTCCTCCTCTTCCTCTTGCTTCTCCCTGGCTCTTCTTCTTTTTCTTCTCCTTCTAGCAGTGGGGCCCTTTCTTCAAGCAAAATTTCGTGTGGAAGCCTAATGTATACAATAAATTAAAGCAAGGCCACGGTTATGGGGATGCAGGTTTGGGAGCCCTGTGCTCTCGTGCCAGGCGATGGCGCCCCCACAGAGCCTCAGTGGGAGAGCCAGGGGTCCCCCTGTGCCCTCTGGAGCTCATTCAAATAACCAGCATAGCAAGAGTCAAGGGACCCCCCACATGGCAGGGTCAGGTGCTCAGGAAGCAGGTGCAGCAGTGTGCTGGGGGTCTGGGGTGGGGACAGGGACTCTGGGCAGCTCCCCATCATGCTCCCTTGCAGGTCTGTAAGTATGACTTTGTGGAGGTGCGCAGCGGCCTGTCCCCCGACGCCAAGCTGCACGGCAAGTTCTGTGGCTCTGAGACACCCGAGGTCATCACTTCGCAGAGCAACAACATGCGTGTGGAGTTCAAGTCCGACAACACCGTCTCCAAGCGCGGCTTCAGGGCCCACTTCTTCTCAGGTACGTGGGTTCGGAGGTGAGGCTGATGCAGTGCAGGTGATGCGGCTTTGCAGACTCCAGGCTCTGGGGTCCCTGGCCCTCTCCTCTCTCTCTCTGCCTGCTCCTGTAGCCTTCCAGGTATGGCTGCCTTGGAGGGGGCGTGCCTGGATCCAGGGCTTTTAAAATATATCTACTGGTGACTGTGTTAGTTTCTTAGGGCTGCCATAACAAATTACCACAAACTGGTTGGCTTAACACAACAGAATCTTATTCTTGCAGTTCTGGGGGCCCGAATTCCAAAATCCAGGTGTTCGCAGGGCCATGCTGCCTCGGAAGGTTCTAGGGCAGAATTCCTCCCTGCCCCTTCCTAGTCTGTGGTGGCTCCCAGCAGTCCTCGGCATTCCTTGCCTTGTAGCTACATCATCCTGATCTCTGTCTCCATCTTCACATGCGTTTCCTTCTTCTCTGAGTCTCTGTGTCCCCTCCTTTTCCTAGAAGGATTCCAGTCATTTAGGATCAACCCTAAATCCAAGATGATTTCATCTCAAGATTCTTAACTAATACTTCTGCAGAGACCCTATTTCCAAGTAAGATCACATTCTAAGGTTCCACATTGTATTAGTCTGTTTTCACAACATACCTGAGACTGGGTAATTGATCAAGAAAAAGAAGTTTAAGCTGGGCGTGGTGGCTCACGCCTGTAATCCCACCACTTTGGGAGGCCAGGGCAGGCAGATCGTGAGGTCAGGAGTTCTAGACCAGCCTGGCCAACACGGTGAAACCCTGTCTCTACTAAAAATACAAAAAAAGAAAAAAAATTAGCCGAGGGTGGTGGTGTGTGCCTGTAATCCCAGCTACTCGGGAAGCTGAGGCAGGAGAATCGCTTGAACCCAGGAGGCAGAGGTTGCAGTGAGCCAAGATCGCGCCACGGCACTCCAGCCTGGGCTACAGAACAAGACTCCATCTTGGGGCAAAAAAAAAAAAAAAAGAAAAAGAGGTTTAATGGACTCATAGTTCCACATGGCTGCGGAGGCCTCACAATCATGGCGGAAGGCAAAGGCATGTCTTACATGGCTGCACACAATAGAGAATGAGAGCCAAGTGAAAGGGGAAACCCCTTAAAAAATCATCAGATCTTGTGAGACTTATTCACTACCACAAGAACAGTATGGGGGAAACCGCCTCCATGATTCAATTCTCTCCCAGAGGGTTCCTCCCACAACACGTGGGAATTATGGGAGCTACAATTCAAGATAAGATTTGGGTGGGGATACAGCTAAACCATATCACACATGAACAGAAATTTTGGGAAGACAGTACTAAACCCACTACAGTAGCACACTGGACCCTACTTCTCAAACTGAAGGCCATGAATCCTCAGGGCCAGTACAGCAGCTGTAGAAAAAGCCCATTCTCCTTAGTACAGCATCTGATGCTGGACACTGTCTTGGCCCACCTGTCCTACCAGCCACATTCCCTCTGTAGGTGCCCTGTGCTGTGATCACGAATAATCCCCCCACTGTTCCCCCATGCCATCACCCTCTACTCCTAAACCCCCATCCCATTCTCTCTTCATACCCCCCGCCTGTGGCCTTCCCTCTCTCTGGATATCCTTCTTCCTTCGCTACTTAGGAAACTCCTACTTCAACCTGAAGACCCACGATGCCACTTTCTGTAACATTCTCTGGCTTCATCTTATTCCTCTTAGTCCGTTTTGTGCTGCTATCACAGAATACCACAAACTGGGTAATTTATAGTGAAGAGAAATGTATTTGGCTCATGAGTCTGGAGGCCGGGAAGTTCAAAATCAAGGGGGAACATCTGACAAATGCCTTCTTGCTGTGTCATAACAGGGTGAAGGCACCACATGGGTGAGAAAGAGCGGCAAGGGGGTCAAACTCATCCTCTATCAGGACCCCACTGCTACAATAATGAGCTCTCATGACCTAATCACATGTAAGGGCCTCATCTCTCAACACCGTTGCATTGGGGATTAAGTTTATAACACATGAACTTTGGGGGACCCACTCAAGCCATAGCACCCTCTTAGCACATTGATTGTTCGTTCACCAGTGTTCCCACAGCACTCTCTCCTTCCCTTCCATTAGGGCTCTTGTCACCAGGGCCAGCTCCGTGGGCCTGTGGCCTGTGCAATAGCACAGAGCCTGTTCTCAGAAGGGCCCACACTGGTTTGAGGTTCTGTTGTCATCATCTTGAAATTCATGGCCGGGCACGGTGGCTCACGCCTGTAATTCCAGCACTTTGGGAGGCCAAGGTGGGCGGATCATGAGGTCAAGAGATCGAGACCATCCTGCCCAACATGGTGAAACCCTGTCTCTACTAAAAATACAAAAAATTAGCTGGGCGTTGTGGCGGGCGCCTGTAGTTCCAGCTACTCAGGAGGCTGAGGCAGGAGAATCGCTTGAACCAGGGAGGCAGAAGTTGCAATGAGTCGAGATTGTGCCACTGCACTCCAGCCTGGGCAACAGAGCAACACTCCGTCTCAAAAAAAAGAAATTCATAATAGTGTTTAAACAAAGTTCAAATCTTGTGCTGAGCCTTGTAAATTGTATAGCAGGTCCTGCGTGTCACGTCATATTAGAGTGTGAACTGTTTACAAGCAGGAACTGTATTTTGGTTATCTTTATAGTCTTAATGCTTGGCATAGAAACGACCAAATTATTTGTTGATTTTATACATACCCAGAGTTCCGTCTCCATGGGTGTTTTTGGCAGTCTCTCATTGAGCAAGTCAGGTTTTTTGTTTTGAGTGTCTGCTGTGGGCACAGTACACTACTAGGCTCAGAGCTGTTGCCAGGGAAGTGCCCCCAACCCTGGACAAGCTTACATGCTAGCTAGGGAGGCCAGGGATACACACCCTGCTGAGTCCCAGCCTGGAGCACTGTGGGGTGGGCCGCTGCAACAAGGGCCAATGTTTGAAGAAGAGAAGCCCACGGTTGCCTGGAGCAGTGGGTGAAGCCTTTTTGCAGGATTTGGGGTGGTCTAAGCCAGGTTTTAAGGGATGGAAGACATGGAGGTGGAGATAGGATGATTAGAGAGAAAGCACAGGGTCCCCAGTAGGGGAAGCAGTGTGAGCACAGGTTAAGGTCTCAACAGAGCACAGAGACAGAGATGAGATGGGCCTGCATGGAGCCCTGACCCATGCTGGGAAGCCAAGGGCATGAGATGGGCCAAGTTGGGGAAGGCCAGGTCATGAAGGACCTTAAACGCTGGGCTGAAGAGTAGGGACCTGATGAAACAGGAAGGGGGACTGTTTGCAGGTTCCTGAGCAGGCGAAGCCTAAACTTGTCATCTGACCAAGCCATGCCAGGCAGTGTGGAGCTGGGAGGGCCAGGCAGCTGGAGGACCAGGGCAGCAGGGCGGGCAGGAGCCACCTCAGCGGAGGATGTAGCAGAGCATCACAGGCAGGGCAGCTCCACATTTGCAATAGGAAGCCACAGCACAGGGGAGAGTGTCAGAGCAGGAGTGAGGACCTATGAGTCATCTGCAGAAGGACTCAGAGGAAGGAAGGGAGAGAGGTGGGTCAGTGCTGGGTGTTGGGCGGCTTCATCTCTTCTGCATTTTTTTTTTTTTTTTTTTTTTTTTTTGAGACAGAGTGTTGTTCTTGTTGCCCAGGCTGGAGTGCAATGGCGCGATCTCAGCTCACTGCAACCTCTGCCTCCTGGCTTCAAGTGATTCTCCTGCCTCGGCCTCCTGAGTAGCTGGGATTACAGGAAGGTGTCACCACGCCCAGCTAATTTTCTATTTTTAGTAGAGACGGGGTTTCTCCATGGTCAGGCTGGTCTCGAACTCCGGACCTCAGGTGATCTGTCCGCCTCGGCCTCCCAAAGTGCTGGGATTACAGGTGTGAGCCATGGCACCGGGCGTCTCTTCTGCATTCTTAAAGGGTCTTACAAGGGCTCTTACTTGTCCTGATGACATAAGCAGGTAAAATACAGTGTTCGAGGAGACATTAACCATGGTGAACAAGAGGGTGTAGAGAGTGGACAAAGACAGGGCTGACCCCTAAAGTCATTCTGGTGATGGCAGGGAAGCAGGGGAGGGAGGCTGATCTTCAGTAAATGTAGGAACAAGCTGGGTTAGGATAGGGCTGCATACAAGGACCATAAGTTTAACAAGGGCCAGCACCTGAGTTCTCACGTAGTAATTATGCAGCTAACACCGTGGGCTGGGTGCTGCTCTAATTAATTTACCCCTCCCAACAACCTGTGAAGTGAGGATACCATTACTGTCTCCATTTTACAGGCGAGGCAACTGAGGCACAGAGGGCAGGAACTGTCTATGGCCACAAGAGCTGGAAGTGGTGGGGTAGGGCTGGCCGTCTGCTGTGTGTCCAGCTTCTCCACGTGCAGAGGGCGGTGTGGAGTCGTGGCACTTGAGCCCAGGCCTCTGGGTCAGCCATAGAGGATGCTTGCTCACTGAGTGACCTTGGTCACATTAGCCATTTTCAGAGTCAGTTTCCTTACTTGTTTTTGTTTTGTTTTGTTTTTGAGATGGAGTTTCGCTCTTGTTGCCCAGGCTGGAGTGCACTGGCGCGATCTCGGCTCACTGCACCCTCCGCCTCCCAGGTTCAAGCAATTCTCCTACTTCAGCCTCCCAAGTAGCTGGGATTACAGGCCTGCACCACCACGCCCGGCTAATTTTTGTATTTTTAGTAGAGACAGGGTTTCTCCATGTTGGCCAGGCTGGTCTTGAACTCCCGACCTCAGGTGTTCCACCCGCCTCGGCCTCCCAAAGTGCTGGGATTACAGGCGTGAGCCACTACGACCGGCCAGTTTCCTTACTTATAAAGACTGGCAGATAGAGAACTCCCTCCTAAGGTTGGATGAGAATTAACTTAGATAATGCATAGAGTGCTTGGGACTGTGCCTGTTCCATAGTAAACATTCAGTAAGTAGGAATTACTGTCATTATTGTTACTACTGTGATTAATACTAGCCTGTCCTTCAGGGAGCTCCTTGTTTTGAGCAGGGAGCAGGGCCAGAGAACATAGAAAAAGTACTTGGAGAATCCAACACATACCAGGGCCAAGAGCTTGGAAAATGAAACAAGTAGATATGCAAGAAATCTGAGGTGAAGATGTTCCCGCTTCACTCCCCCAGTGAGGGAACAGTCAGAGGGGAAGGGGAGCAATCAGAGAAGCTTCCTGGAGGAGGCTGTTTTTAAGTGGGATTCTGAGCCCTGAAGGACGTTCGTAAGTTGGCGTTTCCTCTTAGAAGAGTTCATTGATCTCCCCAGACAAGGACGAGTGTGCCAAGGACAATGGCGGGTGTCAGCACGAGTGCGTCAACACCTTTGGGAGCTACCTGTGCAGGTGCAGGAACGGCTACCGGCTCCACGAGAACGGGCATGACTGCAAAGAGGGTGAGGCTGGACCTCCGGTTGTTGGGGGGTGGGCTGACCTTCGCCACACCCCGAACCCCTGTGAGCATGTGCATGAATGAGGGGCTGGGGTGAGGAGCTCTTCCACTTTCTGAGCTGAGGCCCAGCCACTGCTGTCCTTGTGGGAGAGAAGTTTTCCCCAGGGCATCTCACTCCTTCAGGGGGCACCTGGGGCCCTCAGGTGTTGTAGGCTGAGGTATTTTTCAAATGATTAAGCCTGCAAGCTCTGGAATCTGAATACCTAGGTCTAAATCCTGGCTCTGCCGTTCCCTAGCTGTGTGACCTCGGGCAAGCTATTTAACCTATCTGAGCCTCAGTTTTTTCTTTGGTTAAAAGGGTCTAAACATAACCACCTTCTTAAAGTTTTTGTGAGGATTAAAACAAAGTATTTCAGACTCTCTGACACATATTATGCCCTCAAACATCAATAAAGATCAGCCATTTATGTCTTTTTCATATATTAATTACCATATGCAGGCCCCATAGGAAAATAGGATTTGAAAAGCTTTGCTCCATTCTCCATTCACTGTAGGAAATTCTTCAGGGCCGGGTGGCTTTTACTGTCCACGGTCCAGTCATTCTGGAAAAAGCCTTCCTTCTGTTCTTACCCTGCCCAGTGAAGGGAGTTTGAACGTTTATGACAAACACACAGGCTTCCAGGCCTTGGCCCCAGCCATGAAGCCCTGCAAAGGAAGTCAAGGGTGGAGGAAGATGTGGAAGACACACAGCCCGATCTCTGGAATAAACAGTCTGGAGTTAGGAGATTTGGCTGGGTGCCGCAGAGTCTGGTCAGGATCTGCCTAGAATGTTACAGGAGGCGCTGATGTGTCTTCAGGAGGAGGCGGCCACCCTCCAAGCCCAGCCCTAGGGCATGGTCACAGGTGGTGGAGGGGCTGGGTGGGAGGCTGGTGGAAGAACCGAACAGGGAGGGAACAGTCAAGCCCCCGTGAGGTGGGCCCGGGCTAGGACCAGGCTTGCCTCCTGCAGTGTGGGAGAGGACAGGAGGGAGGTCAACTCTCCCAAGTTCCCACCCCTGAATAGTGGCTGCGTTTGTGTGGGTTGACCCCCAGGGCAGGGGGTGTCAGAGCAAATGTCCCAGGAGCCGAGCCACTCTCCCTCTGGGCGCCTGTTCTCTGTGGCTGCAGAGCAGATGTAGCACTGAGCAGAGGCAAATCTCTTTGGACCGTCTTCAAAGCTGCCTCCTCCCCTTCCTCCCCCCGGCCCTCCTCACCTGCCTCTCCAGCTTCTCCAGCATGGAGCCTCCGTGTTTGTGATACAGTCCACCGTGCTTTCTAAGCAGTGGTAGCACTGGCCTTAAAGCCAGCCAGGCCCAGTTTGAGTCCCAGCTCCACCCCCTATCAGCAAAGCACTGTTCCTCTCCAAACCTATTTTCTTATTTGGGAAGTGAGAAGGACTAAAGGAGAGGATGCATGGAAAATGTTGTCCACAGTGCCCAACACAGAAGAAGAGAAATGCCAGTTATTGGCCAAGATGCTAGGCATTGAACGAGTTGTGGGACCACTCTTGGCAAATAGCACTGTCACCAGGACACACTTGGTAGACTCCAAATAAAACCACTGAGAAAAACTAAAAGAAGCTTATGGATGGATGGTGCAGTGATGAAGCAGATCTCTGTTAGCCAAGATGCACTGAGCACTCACCATGGGCTGGCACGCCCTAAGCCTTTCCCATGCATTATCTCATTCGATCACATATCACCCCGACTAGGGTGGCACCCTTTTACAAATAAGGACACCGAAGCTTACATAACAGCCCCAAGTCCCACAGATGGCAGAACCAAGACGGGTCGAGGTCCACCCGACCCCACTGCCAGTGCTTTTAACATATTTGCAGGGATAACTGCAATGTGGATAGGAATAGAAAGATAGCCTGGCCCCCGAGCCACAGCCAGGAAGGCAGAAAAGCCAGTGCAAGTAAACCAACACATCCCTGAGCCAGGAGACACCTGATTCAGGACACCCCACCCCCACATTTGATAAAGACCCTGAGACAATCAGGAGAGAGGGGAGGAGAACCCCCTAGAATCCTTCCCGTGCTGTCCACAGTGAATGACTTCTCTTTCTGTATGTGTCCCCCCGCCACCCCCAGCTGGCTGTGCACACAAGATCAGCAGTGCAGAGGGGACCCTGGCGAGCCCCAACTGGCCTGACAAATACCCCAGCCGGAGGGAGTGTACCTGGAACATCTCTTCAACTGCAGGCCACAGGGTGAAACTCGTGAGTCATTTTTGTAGTTTATTGAGAACATGGGCTTGGGTATCCGGCAGATGTGCGTTTGAGTCTCTGCTCTGCCACTTCCCAGCTCTGTAACTGGGGGGAGGTGACTCAACATTTCCAGGTCTCAGTTTCATTATCTGCAAAACATGGATACTAATGAAGCTTACTTCATCGGGCTGTTGTGCAGATTAAAAGAAACAACGCACAAAAGCTCTATAGATCACACCTGGGCACAGTGGGACCAGCAGGAGGCAGCATCCACCACCTACATGTGCAGTGCTGTTTGAGATTCACTTGTTTCCAGTTTTAATTTTTTTTACAAGACAATATAGTCTCATGATTAAAAACAAGATGAATCAGTACAGGAGGTTGGAAATAGAAATCAAAAGACCCCAGAGCCCCCATTTCCACTCTAGAAATGACCACTCTGAACACATTCTTATGGATCCTTCCAGAAATTTTCTGTGGACAATCATGACTGTCAGTGCACAGGGAAATATATATGTTTTTGTTACTCAAATTCCTCTAATAAAATCCTATTCATATTTTTTCTACAACTTAATTTTTTTTCCATTAGTAATAGGAGACTAAGTTCTTTATGCAAATTCCCTCCTGAATTAAAAGTTTTTCCCCAAGCCTTTGTTTAAAGTCTTTTTCACGTATATGATGTGTGGTTTGCACAGTTATTTCAAAGGGGAGTTGAATCTCCTAGGAGTCTCATTTCTCAACCCCCAGGGACTCCCACATTTTGGAGAATAAAGAAACCCTTTTGCCAGCTGGAGAATGTATTGTACTTCAGGCAGACGGACATTTTTTAAATGGGTTTTTCTGACTGTAGAGGTAAGTAGGATTGACCCTATGAACGGTGGATGGATAACTTAGGGAGAATGGAGGAGAACAGAGAGGGAGAAGTCCATGATCAATGGACTATGGCGCAGGGACTTGCAGGATGTTTATTGGTGAGAGCCATGAGTGAGGAGCAGAAGAGGCGAATGGGCCCCCAGGGCATCGAGGGCTGAAGACAGGGCCTCTGACCACAGGGTGCTCCCAGCGGACAGCTCACATGCTGGGCCGCCCGTGGGGAAACTGCTGCTCTGTTAAGAGCGGCTGTCACGGGTCAGCCTTGAATCTGAGTGAGGATCAACTGGAGAGCGCCTTAGGGAAAGGCACTGCTTCTCCTAGACCGCCATCTGCTGGGAAATGTTCGCAATGGCAACATAGAGCCCCGAGGACCTAAGGGGAGGCGCCCTCTGGCGTTGGGAGCGCGCAAACGCACAACGGGAAGCGTTTGCTCGAGGCTCATACTCACACTTGGTAGTTTCCAAAAGGCGTTTCCTCGGGAAACGGATGGTGGATATATTGACTGAGCTCTTTTCGCTACCGTAGAATGTGAATTGAATACTTCTCAAGGAAGCTGGTGGTGTTCGCTGCATGGGGATGGCGACAGGGCGCCCCATGGACCTCCTGGGAGCTCCCTGCCTGCGGAGCTTAAGGCTCCCTTCCCCTGCATGGCCGTCCTGGTGCCACTGCTCCCCTGTCCAGTGTCTCTACCCACTACCTTTGCTCCAGCGCCCCCTATCTCACAGGCGGGAGAGCTCTGCCCACGTGCGTTAGTGTGTGGGAGTCATTCTTCTGAAAGCCTGCATTGCCGTGCTGGTCCTGTTTCCCCCTCCCAGTCTCCATCTCTGTGCTGCCAGGCCAGAGATGAATTGAGCACCCCCCACCCCCGCCCCAGTTAATGTCCTGTGTCCCTGCTCTGTCGTTTGATCCAGGTCTTCATCTGACACCGTCCCCGCTCACCTTATCCCATCTCCCTTGACGCTGGGGCTGCCATCAGTCGACCACCTACCCAGCACCTGAGGAGCCTGCATTCCGGGCTGAAAAGCAGGCTGGAATGGTGGGGCGCCCCTGGCCAGCGTTAGGGGACAGTCCTTAGGGGGAACAGGGAGAAGTGAGGCGGCACAACCTGGTGAATGGTTGGAGCAGTGGGGGTTGGAGAAGGCTAGCTGGAGTCAAGTTCAGCTTCATCTGTCTCCAGCTGCGTGAGCTTGGGCAGGTCAGCCAGCTTCTCTAAGACTCATTTTCCCCTTCTGCATGTTGGAAATAATAATAGTTCTTCCTTCCCAGCATCACCAGAAGTAAGTGAGAAAATGCCCATAAATTCTTGGCATGGAATAAACACTCAGCGAGTGTCAGCCACCATGAGGCTGCTGCCCGGAGCAGCGTGCACCTCATACAACCTCACCAGTGTCATTTGTACTGAAGGATCATGCAGTGGAGTGCACAGGTCAACAGCAGGGTCTCTGACGCCAGAGTGCCAGATCATGGCCCAGCTCTACCAGTGTGAGACCTTGGACAACTCATCTGGCAGCTCTGAGCCTCACTTTCCTCATCTGTAAAGTGGGGATTAGACACATCACAGGGGTGTAAAGATTGAAAGAGGTGATACTTGTAAAGCATTGAAAACAGCTGCCAACACAGAGAGTGGGCACTCAGCCCTTGCTGGCTCTTGGCCCTAAGTGAGAGAGAAGCTGTGTGATGGGATGGAAGGAAGACAGATTTGGGCTGTGGGAAGCCTGGCTCTGTCACTTGATAGCTGTCAAAATGTCAAGCATTTAAATTCTCTGAACCCCTGCTCTCTCATCTGCAGTGTGGTCATTGTAGCAATAGCTCATGTAACTACCTCATAGGGCTGCCTGCTGGACCAAAAGCAAGGCAGAGGTTGAGACCCTCTCTACAGATGTTCCCAAGCATCATCATGGCCACACACCCCCTGAACAGCCAACTGGAAGTCTCCCCACACTGCCTCGCCCCTTCCTCTCCTAGAACTGGAGAGGAGGCCCCCACCCCAGCTGACTGTCAGGCCCTTGCCTTACTTTCTGCTCTTCTGTCCCCAGACCTTCAATGAATTTGAGATCGAGCAGCACCAGGAATGTGCCTATGACCACCTGGAAATGTACGACGGGCCCGACAGCCTGGCCCCCATCCTGGGCCGTTTCTGCGGCAGTAAGAAACCAGACCCCATGGTGGCTTCGGGCAGCAGTATGTTTCTCAGGTTTTATTCGGATGCCTCAGTGCAGAGGAAAGGCTTCCAGGCAGTGCACAGCACAGGTACCTGGGGTGGGACACTGGCTTCCATGAGCACTTGGACAGGAGACAGAGATATGGTGAAGGCAGGACAAGGACTGCCTTTTATTCTGACCGGGGGAGGGCTGGGGGAGGAAGGTGCATGATAAAATGTCCTATTAAAATGAAGCATCAGGTTGGGCGCGGTGGCTCATGCCTGTAATCCCAGCACTTTGGGAGGCTGAGGCAAGTGGATCACCTGAGGTCAGGAGCTCGATACCAGCCTGGGCAACATGGTGAAATCCCATCTCTACTAAAAATGCAAAATTAACTGGGTGTGGTGGTGGGTGCCTGTAATTCCAGCTACTCAGGAGGTTGAGGCAGGAGAATTGCTTGAACCCTGGAGGCAGAGATTGCAGTGAGCCAAGATTGTGCCATTGCACTCCAGCCTGGACGAGTGAGACTCTGTCTGTTAAAAAATAAAAAAATAAAATGAAGCTTCAGCAACCATAGGGAAAATGGCTGTTTTCTTTCAATATCCTTAATTGACACAATTTGAAATGGACAACCCTTTGTTAGGCCCCATTTTTTCCTCCCTCCTTCTTTCCTTCCTTTCTTCCTATCTTTTTAAAAATATATTTTGGCCAGCCACGGTGGCTCACACCTGTAATCCTAGAACTTTGGGAGGCTGAATGGGGAGGATTGCTTGAGCCCAGGAGTTCAAGACCTGCCAGGGCAAGATGGTGAGACCCCCACCCCCCACTGCAATCTCTACAAAATAAAAACTAGAAAATATAGTGAAGCATGGTGGTCCCAGGTACCCCGGAGGCTAAAGCAGGAGAATTGCTGGAGCCCAGGAGTTCAAAGCTGCAGTGAGCTCTGATCATGCTATTGCACTCCAGCCCGGGTATTTTGCTGGTGTATGAAGTCCAGAAGTTGGGTAACTGAGTGGTGAAAGCAGACCTTTTATCCCTGTAAGGACCAGTTCTGGAAAGTGAAAAGTGTTTCTGTTCCCCATGATTTTTTCTTCCACTCAAAATGTAAATAGCTGTATTAGGTGCTTTGGTGGGAAATGTATGTGCTTATAACTTATATTATCTACTTCATTAAGTAGAAGAATGTCAGTAGGAAATTTGGCTCTGCTCTTTAGCCATCAAAATGTTACCACCTGGGACTAGTGCCCACGGAAGCAAATCTGACCCTTTGATCCTGATGTACAATTGTGTCCTTTGTCAGAGCCGGTGGCCACCCAAAGCCCACTCTGCTTCTGTAATGCTGAGTCTGAGCTCACGATCATGCGACCCTGTGATCCTTTTAACAGCCCCTACCCCCCGTTTTTTTCAGTACCAGAAAATATAAATTAGGTCAAACAAAATGGCAACCAGCATCCTGAGGCAGTTCAGCCTCCCCTTGCGCAGCAGAAAACACTGCATGTCAAACTCCCTGAGGAGTTCTAGCTTCTAGTTCTAGCTTCCTCCAGGGAAGTTGAAAAGCCCTCTTGTCCCTGCGGATAGAGACCAGGAAGAACATAGGTGCTTCAGGGTCCTAGCAGGAAATGGGGGCACATTCAGAGTCATTATTTGAGGAGAAGTTAATAAAGGGACAGGTTACAAAGGGGTGAGAGGGTATGGGACACTGTAGGATAGTGAAGCCACCAGAGCAAGGAACTGCAACCCCAGACCCAGAGGATGAGAGGAGGGAGCAGTTCCTGAAAGCTGGAGACAGAGAGGGCGGCATGCAGAGACCCTGTGGCTGCAGCTGTGACCTAAGTAGAAGAACAGCTGTGGCAATCAGGGGACTAAATACCCTGGCCTCTCTCTCCTCCCTCCATCTGATCTGCTCGTGCTCCCATGGCTGAACCTGCAGCAGAGGGCACGGGGGTCACCGATGGAGGCCAGGGGTCCACCTCCCGGGGCCCAGGCAGGTGGGGAGGGTGGGGGCGTCCAGCAGGATGGAGGGGAGGTGTCCCGCCCTGCTCTGTGTTCATTTCATGACCACCCAGCTCTCAGGAATTTGAAATTTCCCCAAAACGGGTTAGACCTGTAAGACATTCTAAGCCAGAGCCAACAGAGGACTCAGAATGGGCAGTCAGACAGGACTGGGCCAGGCGGGGCGTGGAGCTCCAGAGAGGCCTCGGAGTGTTAGGAGCCAGGTGGCCCAGAATCTACAACAGTGTTTGCCTGGGCCCCTTGGGGGCATGGAGCACACAGGGGAGGGGCTGTGCAAGAATTTGCCTCCAGAATTTCTGGTGCTTGCTAATCTAGACCAATCTTGTCTACCTATTTTACTTATTTATTTACTTTTATTTTTTTTTTGAGATGGAGTTTTGCTCTGTGGCCCAGGCTGGAGTGCAGTGGCACAATCTCAGTTCATTGCAAGCGCCACCTCCCAGGTTCAAGCGATTCTCCTGCCTCAGCCTCCCGAGTAGGTGGGATTACAGGCGCCCATGACCGCACCCTGCTAATGTATATTTAGTAAAGACAGGGTTTCACCATGTTGGCCAGGCGGGTCGCAAACTCCTGACCTCAAGTGATCCACCCGTCTCAGCCTCCCAAAATGCTGGGATTACAGGCGTGAGCCACCGCACCCGGCCAATATCCATTTTATTTTATGTGGGCTTAAGTGTCCAAGACTCAAGGTACTATATATAGGACCAGGGCCAACAAGAGTTACTGTCCTTGTATAATAAAAAACCCAGAAACAAAGGCTACAGAATATAATCCCAGAACCCGAGGGGCAGCTCACCTGTGACACCCACAGGGACCTCAAAGTTGGCCTATGGTCAATGCCCTCAGTTGCAAGAACCAGTCAAGTAGGGTCTGAAGTTTCCAGGGTTGAGAGCTTACCCGCGGTTCTGATGTGCTTTTATCGCCCTCTGTTGGCAGAAATGACAAATTACAGTCAGTCCGTGGGGCGAGTGTGAGCCCTTCTCAGATGCATCCAACCCTTCCAGGGAATAAAGTGGCAAATAGATCCACCCACATCCCAGCGACCAGTGAGGCGAACCATCCATTGGCTCCATGTCTCCATAACTGGAAAAAGCAAAAAGCAGCCAGCTCTTTTCAATGGCATGCTCACGTATTCTCAAGCTGGGAACAGGCGACCTTGGCTTGTAAGGGCCACTTTGCACCCCCTAGGGAGCCCTGACCTGGGAGCCAGGGGCCTCTGTGTACTCCTCCATCAGATGGGGTGACGAGACTACCTGGCCTCTCCTGCCAGGCACGCACCAGGCTCTGTAGAGAGAACTGAGCAGACGCAGGCGGGAGGCACGAGGGTGTCTTGTGCTGAGGGGACATCTCACTTGTCTCTGCTCCAGAGTGCGGGGGCAGGCTGAAGGCTGAAGTGCAGACCAAAGAGCTCTATTCCCATGCCCAGTTTGGGGACAACAACTACCCGAGCCAGGCCCACTGCGACTGGGTGATCGTGGCAGAGGACGGCTATGGCGTGGAGCTGACATTCCGGACCTTTGAGGTTGAGGAGGAGGCCGACTGCGGCTACGACTACATGGAAGCCTACGACGGCTACGACAGCTCAGCGCCCAGGCTCGGCCGCTTCTGTGGCTCTGGGGTAAGTCCCGGAGACGCTGGGGCCGGGGCAGAGTGTGATGAATCACAGCATGAGTTGTGGAGAGAGACACACCCGGGTTTCAGTCCTGGCCACCTCCTCCACTTAGGAGCAACGGCGAGGAGGCACGTTTTGCTGAAGCGGAGTGGGAAGCGGGAGAAATGTCAGGAGGCTGGGAGGCAGCCAAGGGACCAGTCCTTGAAGGCCCCTTACTGAGGCAGCCATGGAAGAGCACTTTTCCTTTTGGGACTTTCCCCCTATTTTTGCAAAGTCTTTCCCTCTCCCCCCACTTTTTTTCCCCCCCGAGACGGAGTCTTGCTCTGTCGCCCAGGCTGGATTTCGGCTCACTGCAACCTCTGCCTCTTGAGTTCATGCAATTCTCCTGCCTCAGCCTCCCAAGCGGCTGGGATTACAGGCATGTGCCACCACGCCCACCTAATTTTTGTATTTTCAGTAGAGACAGGGTTTCACCATGTTGGTCAGGCTGGTCTTGCACTCCTGACCTCAAGTGATCCACCTGCCTTGGCCTCCCAAAGTGCTGGGACGACAGGCGTGAGCCACCACGCGCAGCTGCTCTCCTCCATTTTTATTTGGCCCCCAGGCTTTAAAAATATTTAATTATGCTTTTATATATTTCTTATATTCACATTTCTCTCCTCAAGCAAAACCAAATGCCAATGAAAATTACAAGTCACTTACTATACACAACAATAGTTGTACTCAAGGTCATCATCAGTGTTCTCATTGTTCACTTTTTCAGTGGGCCTGTTGTGTTTGCTATTTCTCCAGCACCCGACATAGGGCTTGGCATATAGTTGGTGCTTGGTGGGAGTTTGTGCACTGGCCAGTACAGTGTCCCGGTCACTCCCCTGGCTGCACCACAGTGGACACTGCCCATACTGGGCACCAGCCCCCTCCTTTCTGTTGCCTCCAGGCCTAGTCGCTCAAGCTTCTTTGCTATTGGCTGGACTTCAATCACATCATTTTGGAGTCACCAGTGCTCCTGTGCTAAACAGAAATTCAAATTGTCATTTATATTTTTTGAATAATTCCCCATCTTCTTTCACCCTCTAGAAAAGGAAGAATGACAAAGTGGCACTTAGCCAATGCACTGCCTTTGATAAAGTCTTTCCAACTGTGGGGTCTGTGGAAAGGAACCTCTTGGAGGGTCCTGAGTGGTTCACCGTGGGGGAAGCTCACTTTGGCTCCACTAGAACCTCGCAGGCAACAGCCTTGGAATGCGGCTCCCATTCACAGATCACCTGGCAAAACCTTTCTGACAAATGTGGTGGCTCCATCCCAGTTTTTGTCCTTGGAAGGGACAGAGGCCTGAGCAATGGTCTTTGTTTCAGGTCTCCTGGGAGACACATCATAATGATGACCCTGGAGTTCGGTGCTGCATGGTGCATCCTTTACAATCAGAAGGGCCGGAGCTTGGGTCCTGCCTACCTGGGAGAACTTGAGTCTCAGTTTCTTGAAGTGAAAAATGGGGATAGTACCTGCCTTATAAGGTTGCTGTGAAGTTTACATAAGATCTGGAAGTGCCTAGCACAGCACCTGACCCACCTGCGTACTTAATAAGTAATAGATTCTATATGAGCTATGCACCTAGGATCATCTTTGGAAGAGCAGGACCTGCAAAGCTCTCTGGAGCAGAATTTGCAATGTTTTCTTTTGGAAAGGAGCTTGTTTGGATGTTCTTCAGAGTCTCTGGTACCAGGGACACATCCTGTGTCCTTGCATAAGATCCTGTCTCGTCCTCCTAATTTTCAACTCCAATCACAGCTAAAGTCCTTCTTGTTTCCCTTTCTCCTTTCCTCAGCCATTAGAAGAAATCTACTCTGCGGGAGATTCCCTGATGATTCGATTCCACACAGATGACACCATCAGCAAGAAAGGCTTCCATGCCCGATACACCAGCACCAAGTTCCAGGATGCCCTGCACATGAAGAAATAGTGCTGATGTTCTTGAAAGACAGAAACTGAGAATGTTTTGTTTTTGTTTTCACAACAATAGCACCTTGAAAAATCTGCCCTAAAACAGTGTACAGTATTTTTCTCAAACAAAAACTCAGAATCCAGTCTTGGAGGTATATATTTGAATGAAAGTCACGTAAGCTTGGCCAACAAGGTGGAGAGAAAATGTTCTTTTGATTCTGTCTGCAATGTTATCACTCATGAACTGTTAAGGATTAGGATTGAAGTCACTGACCATTCAAGCTATGGTTGTTCATACCCATTCTCCTTGTCCCTTGCTCCTATGTGGCAAAAGGCCAGCCTTGGGGTTGGCCGTTCCTCTAATCTGGACTTGCTTGCAAAGGTGCTGGGCTGTCTTCTGTCTATGTTGGGCATAAGGGATGAAAGCTTGGCTGTGACTAACATATGGCTCACAGCTTTGGCTGGAATCATTTTCTTTCTCTCTGCCAGGGACACGTCAACCAAGAAACCTGAAAATATGGATGGATGTCAGGACTAAAAAAGGCATCACAGTAAGCAGTGTGCACAGAGAAAGTTTCGAGTATGAAAATCATTGTCATGAAGTTAGGAGACCACGAAGCCATTTCTCAGTCATTCACACTCCTTGTCCCTTTGGTTTCCCCCACTCCCTAATTGCATTGGGGGCTAAGGCATCCATTATGAATACAGCAGTACATTTGCTGGCGAGAGTCCCGTCTGCTGAGAAGACAATACTGTGGCTCGTCCTGAAATTTTTTCATTCATTGACTTTGAGAAGACTCCACCTGTGCTTGGAATTCCATGGGCTTCGAAGAACATTTCTTCTTTTAGCTTTGGAGGCACTTGCCGTGGCACACCTGGACTCCTTGACATCCAATTCAAACTGCATTTGCAAAATGTGCAGAGACATCTTATGAGGGACCAATTCAGGTCCCTTGTGGGGTGAACACTGTTGAGGACTGGTTAATTATAAGTTATGTAAGAATCATCGCCTTGTGGAACAAGTCAATCAGCGACTAGCTTCCTGTAGCCAATCAGGTTAAAGAGTGCGTTGGTAACTTTGCTCTGATTAACTAATATTCAATCACCAACTTGCAATCAGAATTCACAACACTTGGCACTTGTTCTAGAGAAGTGTAGAGGATGACGTTTACATAATTTTAGCACCTCAAGGTATAATTTAAACAGTGAGGTAGTTTTGAATGGCATTTCATTAAGGCATCTATGGGCATTATGAGCTAAAAGCTGTGGTATGTTAGCTTTAAAAGAGTATTTATGTTGGAATAATTTTTAAATAATGTTTACATAACTGTAAGTCCTGTTTGGTTGGTGTTGAACGCAGGGCGGCACACGAGTGTTTTTGGTTAGAGCCAAGAGAGCTCCCATGCGCCAGAATTCCTTTGGGATGAATCAGCATCATTTTAGACAAAGTATTTGTAAAAAGGTGAAAGGTTATATTTTTTACAGATCAGAATATGGCACCAGAGGACTGTGTCTCATTAAAGTGATTGCTGGGAGCAAAAACTAGAATGATACAAGGAAAGGTCAGAGAAATGCATGGGAATATTTTTTCCTTAAAACAGAAAAAAATTAAAGTATTCTTATTAATAATATATGTCTGTATATATGTATGTATGTAAAAGATCAGCTGTCAAAGCCTTAATCAATGCAGTGTGGAAAATGCCAATCCCTGGTCCTCGCTTTACTGTGGGCCCTGCAGGATTGGCTCTCCATTTCCTGCCTCTCCTTTCACCAAACTCTGTTTTCGCCTTTCCCGGCACTGGACTGAGGCTCAGCCTACACGCTCATATTGTGCATATGGCAGACCCTGCCCCACGTGCACTTCGATACAGCAAATGGAGCAGCTGACCTCGTGGCTCCAATCCTACCTGCCTGTTAGGGTAGATTCCATTTCTCTAATTTTTGTATTTTCTGAGGTTTTTTGTGGTCTCATCTTGTCTATGAGAGTGGAAACTGGAACTGGGATACCTAAGATGACTGTTAAGGTTCTTTCTCCAAGAAAATAAAAGTTCTGCAGTTTTAACCTTTAGAAGTGTAAGCAAGATTAACAAATTTCATAGAAGAGTGGGAGAGAGTCAGAAACAGAGTTGGTGCTGCTCAGCAGGACAGTGAAACAATGATACTTCTTTTCATCTCCTTAGCATGAACATTTTCAAAAACACACAGCTTCAACCATTGTCACCATATGGCCAATTTGCAACAATGGGACTCTTATGAAAAACCTTTATTTAGGCCTTCTGTGTGACGTATCCGCAGAAAAGACAAGCTCTGATTCAGCTGGGGCTAGCTCCTCTGGAAGCCCACACTTGTGGGGACTTGGGCATGACACGGGTTCTTGCAAAGAAACTTGAGCTGGCTTCACTAGAGAGAGTCCATTCAGCAGAAAGACCCAGGCCTCTGCCTTGGTGCTTCCAATTGCTCAGTGACCTGCCTGCAAGCATCCCCAGAAGCAAACAGTAGAGGTAGAAGATACCGCTGCAGCCTGCTTTGTGCTTTAATTGGGTACCAAGCTTTGGGGATGACACTGAGTTGCAAAAGTAGTTTCAGTTCAGAGAATTGTCTTAGGACAACAGGCTAATGAAGGATTTGGGGTCTGGGTTTTTAGCCTGGCTCAGTTCTAGTGTAACCTAGTCTAGCAAAAGCTAAGCCTGGATTGCAGGGCAGGAAAAAATCTGGAATTAACTTTAGCCAGTAGAATTTCTTCAAACAGAGAAAGAGAGGCTGTTCATTGATCCACTATTCCCTCTATTTTCCTCTAAGGTAAATATTTAGAGGTATTTACCTGTAAGGTGAAGTTTCCCCCCTATTTCTGTTTTACAATTTCTCTCTAAAGCAAGCTTGTCCAACCCATGGCCCAGGACAGCTTTGAATGTGGCCCGACACAAATTCGTAAACTTTTTTAGAAATATTGTGAGATTCTTTTTGTGACTTTTTTTCTCATCAGCTATCGTTAGTGTTAGTGTATTTTATGCATGGCCCAAGATAATTCTTCCAGTGTGGCCCAGGGAAGCCAAAAGATTGGACACCCCTGCTGTAAAGTTTCATATCACTCACAAATTGCTCAGCTGATTGAAATAATTTGTAAAATCCTGCTAACTAGCAAATTCACAGTGAGTTTTCCTGTTGATTGGGTCCCTTTGATAACTTCCAGATTGATATTGTTAGCGTTCCATTTGTGAATGAATGTTCCTTGGGCTTTAGCAGATGTTTTTAAAGTTTCTTTTGTAGACTGAACTTCTGAACATCAATCCCAAATGCCTAAAAGTTTTCTTTTTAAAAAGGAAAACTGTTTAAAGTATTGTATGTAAACATATGGGTATTTTTTATTTTGTGTAATTTTACATTTCATGAAATGATGTCAGTTTCAAAGAGAAAGTGGAGAGGACCTAACATATGTCTCTACCTAGAAAGGATGGTTTCATTAAAGAATATGGATTTATTGATGTGTCTTGGGTTTGTATTGCTAATTCAGACCAGATGGGTCCTTTTAGTGATAATTTTCTCCAATATCACAAGAGCTTGGGAGAGAGTACTAAAAGGGGGCCCTTCTCTACAGCCTTCCACTCTCTAGTGAGTACCCAAGTGCCTAGCTCCAGAACAGAGTTCACTAATGGACCCAGAAAATCACGAGCAAAGCTAAAGATGGTTTTCAAATTTATTCCCTTTCTTACACCAAAACAAGCTGAAAATCTGACAACCTGATTGTGAAGATGTCTGCTGCCAAAACCATCCAGATGTGGTAGACATCTTCCATTTGCCCCTCAGCTCCCCTCGCCACCCTCCTCTATCTGGACATGAGTCTGAGGACTATATCTGACACCCGAGACTGAAGGTTATGGCTCCCAGTAGGTGAGCCCCCACTCCCCGTTGGGGGCCCTGGAAGTCCCTCCTTCCACTTGCCACTTGAGGCTTAGGGGTGGTAATGACACCCTGCTTGTCTAACCTTGGGGTACTGCACTTCCCCCAAGGGGAATGTTTATAGGTAGTCATTTTAATCAACCCTTTTCAAATGTAGTAATGAGTGTATATTACTTGTCTCCTGCAGGGAACCTGACTGATACAGGGTCATTTCTAACACAAAGACAGGGACTCCATCTGATAAAGGACACCCTCTTCAGGTTGATTAGATGAAGAGGCTTTGGGGTATGTTTGGAGTTTTGTGGGTTATATTACAGAAGGGTAATTATACAACTGTGTTTTTAGAAGCACTCAGATTGCTCTCAATGCAAAATCCTTTAACACAGGCAGTTGTTTTGTGCTATACATAGTCTCAAGATTTTATGGCTTTTCTGCCCATTTGCAGTCACCAATTACATAGAGATGATAGGTGATTGATAGATAGATGATAAATAGATGATATAGGTAGATAGGTGGATAGATATATGATAGAAAGAAAAAGAAAAAGAAAGAAAAAAAAGAAAGCTAAAGAAAATGAAAGAACAAAAGAAAGAGAAAGAAGAAAGATGAAAGAAGATGAAAGAAGAAAGAAAGAGAAAGAAAGAAAGAAAGAAAGAAAGAAAGAAAGAAAGAAAGAAAGAAAGAAAGAAAGAAAGAAAGAAAAGAAAGATGATGTATAGCTATAGATTTTCAGCAAGGTTTATCTTCTAGACCTAACAATGAGTCCCATTGGTGCAAGCGTATGAATGCTGGTGTATCAGTCAGCATAGGCTAGCTTTTGCTGCAACAACTATCCCCCATATCTCAGGGGCTTTACATAAGATTTATTTCCTGTCCACACTACACGTTCATTTCTGGTCATCTGGAAACTCTTCCTTATCATCCTCAGTCAGGACCAGGCTGATGGAGCAGCAGCATCAGAACATCGCTGGGTTTTATAATACAGGGAAAGAAAGGGTGACACATGACACACTGGCTTTTAAAACTGCCTGGAAATGATATATTACTTCTACTCATTTCATTGATCACAGCAAGTCACATGAATGTCCTTAACTTCATGACAAGAACAAGGCAAACTAGCAACATTGGTGGGCAGCCGTAATGACTCTCATGTGTGACATTTGTAGATACGAAAATGACTATAATTCTTCTGTTTGTTCTAAAATTTCACTTTATCCCTACCTTATTCTTAATATTTTAGATAAAGATTTCTAAAAATTAGAACAAGGCCACTGCAACAATGTTTGTATACCCACAAAATTCATATACTGAAACCCCAGCCCCCCATGTAATAGTATTGAGCGGTGGGGTCTTTGGGACGTGATTAGGTTATGAGGCTCCAGAGAGATCCCTCAGCCTCCATGTGAGGACACAAAGAGAGGACAGCTGCCTAGGAACCAGAAAGCAGGCCATCACCAGACACTGAATCTCCTGGCACCTTGATCTTGGACTTCCCAGCCCCCAGAACTGTAAGAAATAACTTTCTGTTGTTTATAAGCCACTCAGTCTGTGGTGCTCTGTTTTAGCATCCCAAATGGACTAAGACAGCCACCTGTCATTTAGAATGGTTCAGTTTTTTAAGCTGACCGGTTGTTGCAGGGAAGACCATCCATGTGATTGGGCTTGTACAAATTTAAATGGTAACAAAATATAAATGATCCGAGATTCTCAGAGTTGGTGGCCCCAACCTTTCACCCACTAAGGGCATTCTATCTGTGGTTTCTAAGGAGATGATTTCCAGGCCTAACTTCCAAAGAAGGAGAGCTTACTCACTTCATCCATTCCTTCTCCTTTAGGTAACAATGCCAAATTCATTTTGCAGAACCACCTCTTCTTCCATTGGAGGGACCCTCATTATGGGGACTGTTAGCCAGGTGGTGCCTCATCCTTGGCCATATGAACCAAGCCAGACCAACCAAGTCCTCTTCATGGGACTGGAGTCCTGATCAGAGAGACAAAAGGGCTGAGATATTTTGGAGCTCACTTTCCCTGGAAGGACACCTCCAAAAGACTGTCTGGTCATTGCTGATCCTGAAGGCTTGGGAACAATCTCACTCTGTCTTTCCAGAGCCTGGTTCTCTAGCCCTCTTTTCTTTCTGAGAGCTCCACTATACCCAGTCAATAAATTCTCCTTTTTAGTATTGTGTTGTATTGTATTGTGGTATTGTGTTGTGTTGTATTGTATGTATTGTATTGTATTGTATTGTATTGTATTGTATTGTATTGTATTG